TGTTCAAGTCAGGACCCCCGGGTGTAGGATGGGGCCACAATAGAGGATCAAAGTTTTAAATTCAGCATCTAAAAAAAGAAAAGTTTTCTCAAAAACCTCAATTAAACCATCAATTTTCAAACATTTCCAAGTTGGCTTGATATTTTTTTAGCTCTCCTGAGCCAAAGGCTCAAGTGAGCTTTTCTGATCAAAATTTGTCCGTTGTCTTGTCGTCGTTGTCGTTGTTGTAAACTTTTCACATTTTCATCTTCTTCTCAAGAACCACTGTGCCAATTTCAACCAAACTTGCCACAAAGTATCCTTGGGTAAAGGGGATTCAAGTTTGTTCAAATGAAGGGCCACACCTTCTTCTAAGGGGAGATAATTAAGAATTTGTGAAAATTAATGGCATCATTAAAAAATCTTCTTCTCAAGAACCACTGTGCTTGAAAATATGAAACTTAAGTAGTTTAAGTAGTGTAGATTCAAGTTTGTTCAAATCATGACCCCTGCGGGTCGGGTGGGGCCACAATGGGTGATCAAAGTTTTACATATGAATATATAGGAAAAATCTTTAAAAATCTTCTTCACAAGAACAGCAAAGCCATGATTGGTCATATTTACCTGGAAGCATCCTCAGATAGTGTAGATTCAAATTTGTTCAAATCATGACCCCTGGGGTTCGGGTGGCGCCACAATGGGCAATCAAAGTTTTACATAGGAATATATAGGAAAAATCTTAAGTTTAAAAATCTTCTTCTCAAGAACAGCAAAGCCATGATTGGTCATATTTATTTGGTAGCATCCTCTGGTAGTGTAGATTCAAGTTTGTTCAAATCATGACCCCCAGGGGTAGGGTGGGGCCACAATGGGCAATCAAAGTTTTACATAGGAATATATAGGAAAAATCTTTAAAAATCTTCTACTCAAGAACAGCAAAGCCATGATTGGTCATATTTACATGGAAGCATCCTCAGATAGTGTACATTCCAATTTGTTCAAATCATGACCCCCGGGGGTCGGGTGGGGCCACAATGGGCGATCAAAGTTTTACATGGGAATATATGGGAAAATCTTCAAAAATCTTCTTGTCAAGAACAGCAAAGCCATGATTGGTCACATTTACATGGAAGCATCCTCAGATAGTGTACATTCAAATTTGTTCAAATCATGACCCCCGGGGGTCGGGTGGGTCCACAATGGGCGATCAAAGTTTTACATGGGAATATATGGGAAAATCTTCAAAAATCTTCTTGTCAAGAACAGCAAAGCCATGATTGGTCAGATTTACATGGAAGCATCCTCAGATAGAGTACATTCAAATTTGTTCAAATCATGACCCCCGGGGGTCGGGTGGGTCTACAATGGGCGATCAAATTTTACATAGGAACACATAGTAAAAATCTTTAAAAAAACTATTTGTTAAGAATAGCAGAGCCATGATTGGTCATATTTATATGGTAGCATCCTCAGATAGTGTACATACAAATTTGTTCGAATCATGACCCCCGGGGGTCGGGTGGGGCCACAATGGGCGATCAAAGTTTTACATAGGAACACATAGTAAAAATCTTTAAAAAAAACTATTTGTTAAGAATAGCAAAGCCATGATTGGTCATATTTATATGGAAGCATTCTTAGTGTACATTCAAGTTTGTTCAAACATGACCCCTGGGGGTCGGGTGGGGCCACAATGGGTGATCAAAGTTTTACATAGGAATACATAGGTTAAATCTTTAAAAATCTTCTACTCAAGAACAGCAAAGCCATGATTGGTCATATTTAAATGGAAGCATCCTCAGATAATGTAGATTCAAATTTGTTCAATTCATGACCCCCCCCCCCCCCCCAACCACTTTTATATTTAAACTTTTCAACCTTTCAAGATTGAAGTGATTTCTGCTTTTTCCTAGCCATAGTGCTCAGGTGAGCGATGTGGCCCCTGGGCCTCTTGTACAATTTAATATATACTGTTGGGAAAATGTTTATAAAAAATATTCCTCTGGAGAAAAGCAAAATTTTCTGCAGAGCAGCAGGTCCAAGGTAATTCAGGTAAGCATTTTGGCCCATGGGCCTTTTTTTTAAATAAAAGAACAGAGCAAGTTAAATATGCAGTTATGATGAAGGAAAATGATTGACTGTGCTTTCTGTCTCATTTCAACATTAGATATTTGTTATTTATCACTATTTCTAAATTTGTGACTCCAGGTCACAAGGTAGCCTAGGGGTAGGGTACTTTGTTTCATGACCATGAGGCCAGGGTTTGATTCTCATTCACTGTGTGTTATCAAACCTAAGAAATAAACATTAGTAGTTACTGTTCCTTCTCCAAGCCTGCCAATAGAAGTAAAAGTCACAGGTTTTCAGATGAAAGCTTAAAAATTAGTAAGCATTGGCACAATAAAGAAACATTAGCTAACTGCTCCGTGGCTATGAGTGCTGAGCATAGGTCTAAATATGAAGCTCTTTACTGGTGTACTGGTGTAAGGTGAAGTCTCGATCCATATGATTGTAAAAATTCAAATACACAACATAACAATCAATCAATCTAAATTTGTGAAGCCCCCCTCCCTCTCCTAAAAAAAAGCCCCAAACATACAAGCACAAAAAGGTTTTTTATGCCCCGCTATGAATATGGTCAGGGCATATTGTGTTCTTGTGTCTGTCTTCTGTCTTTCCATCCTTCCTTCCTTTTGTCTTTCTGTCTATCCTTCCCTCATACTTTGCATTTAGCTCAGTAAATTCAAAGAAACTATACGAGATATTTTTATAAAACTTCATATGCTGATTCATACTGATGAGAGCTTTTCAACTGCATGAACATTTTTGACCTTGACCTTTCCTTTGACCTTGATATCCTTTTTTTTTAATTTTCAATTAGCTTAGTTTCAAAGAAACTATTCAAGATATTTAAATGTAAGCTTATGTACTGATACATAATTTGGTGAGAACTTCTTAACTATCCAATTTTTAGCTCTTCTGAGCCAAAGGCTCAAAGAGCTAATGCTATGGCCATTTGTGCGGTGTGCGTAAACTTTTTAGAATATGGGCCATAACTCAAGAACCCCTTGGCCAATTATTGTCAAATTTGTCACAGGGTATCCTTGGCCCAAGGGCTTCCTTTTATACTAAAACTAGGGTTGTGTCCCTTTAACAAGGGGAGATAATTAGGAAAATAGAAACAAAAGTACTGGTTGCTAAAAAATCTTATTCTCAAGAACCACTGGGCAGATTATCACCAAACTTACACAAAAGGATGAGGATATGTTGTAGATTAAAATTTGCATGGGGATTTACCCTGGGGCAAAGGGCGTGGTCTCAAGGTCACTTCAGAGTTGACCAAAAATTACATTTTATTAAAATGATGATATTTTGCTTACTATAAGGACAAGGGTCATCAAATCTTGTCAGTTGATGCATCTAAGGACCTCATATCATGTTGACTCAAAAGTAGGTCACGGTGACCTACTTTTTTGCGGCCGTTCTTTTTCAAAATGATTTAGGTGCATATTTTGAACAATTTAAGGCCTATGATCATCAAACTTTGTCAGTTGATGCATCTTGGGTCCTTGAAGTATGTCAACTAAAATGTAGGTCACCTTGACCTACTTTTTGAATTTTACGGCTAATCTTTTTCAAAACAATTAAGGTCATTAATTCGAATACCGAGAGGTTTAGAATCATTAAAAAGTAGGTCACAGTGACCTACTTTTTGAACTTTGGAGGCATTTGAATTCAAAGCGTTTTAGAGGCATAATTTGGACATTTTAAAGCCTATGATCATAAGACTTTGTAAGTTGATGCATCTTGGGTCCTTAAAAAACATCAACTGAAAAGTAGGTCACCGTGACCTTTATGTCTTTAATTAAATATTTCAGGTACTAATTGGCTTAGAAATCATCAAACTTTGTCAGTTGATGCCTCTTGGGTCTTCGGAGTAGGTCGACTGAAAAGTAGGTCACCATGACCTACTTCTGAAAATTTATGGCTTTAATTAAATATTTCAGGTACTAATTGGCTTAGAATCATCAAACTTTGTCAGTTGATGCATCTTGGGTCTTCGGAGTAGGTCGACTGAAAAGTAGGTCACCATGACCTACTTCTGAAAATTTATGGCTTTAATTAAATATTTCGGGTACTAGTTGGCTTAGAATCATCAAACTTTGTCAGTTGATGCATCTTGGGTCCTTGGAGTACGACAACTGAAAAGTAGGTCACGGTGACCTACTTTTGAAATTTTATGGTTATAATTTTAAGAAATATTTTAGGTATTAATTGGCTTAGAATCATCAAACTTAGTTGATGGGTCCTCAGAGAATGACAAGTGAAAAGTAGATCACCTGACCAACTCTCAGGTACTAGTTGGCTTAGAATCATCTTGGGTTCTCAGAATGTGAATTGGAATTTCAAGGGTTTATCTAAATATACAGGATACTTAGAGGCTTCAAATAGAAGTGATAGGTTGTACAGTTTATCAGAAGAGCGATTCAAGGCCCTTGGGCCTCTTGTTTTATTTACCTTGACTTATCCAATGATCTTTGACTTTCCTATTAATTGTGTCTAAAATTTAGTTTTAAAGAAACTATTCAAGATATTTTCATAAAACTTCATACACTAGTACAAATTTTCATGTTGCAGAGCTTATGAACTCTGGGTGGGGCATTCATGTCCTATGGGCATATTTCTAGTTTTTGATTTGATTAGTAAAGACAACACTAGCCACCCCTATCTCCTTTTTCACAATATTCAATGGAAAAATTCAGGACATTCTGTAAGAAAAAAAATACCTAAAGAGGGGGAAAGTGTTCAGAGTTTTCCTATATCCTCAAATTTTTATTTTGTCTTTGAATTTTAGGATAGAAATAAAAAATTGTCTGTTGCTTAAAGCTACAAAGTTCTTTCATTTCTGAGCATATTTACACATTCTCTGATATTTCAAAAAAATTCATATCTTTCAGATCTACATAAGTTTCCAGTATTATAAAATGAAAAAGCATTAAATGTATTTTTTTCTTTCAAAGAGACAAGAAAAATTCCAAAAATGGTGTGATAGTTTGCAGGCCAAATGGTGCTACTGTCACTGGATTTTATTCTGTTGAAGTGACATTTGATGGAAAGACAGTGAGGAACTTTTCATCACAATTATTTGAGTACCTTAAAGATCCAGAAATAACTGGAACAGATCCATCAGAATTGAAAACTATTAACAGGTAAGCACTGATTTCTAGGTCACAAGTAACACTTTTCAAAATTATAGAATTTTCAGTAAAAAGTGGACATTTAGTTCACCTGCCCTGAAAGCTGAAGTGAGCTTTTCTGATCATGTGTTATCAGGTGGCTATCCATCTGTCTGTAAACTTTTCACATTTTTAACTTCAACTCGAGAACCATTGGGCTAATTTTAACTAAAGTAGGTAGAAAGCAATCCCGAGTAAAGGGGATTCAAAATTGTTAAAATAAAGGGTCCTTGGGGATAATCAAGAAAAGGCAAAAATATGGTGGGGTCATTAAAAAATCTTCTCAAGAACCAAATGAACAGAAAAGCTGAAACATATGGAAGCTTCCTGAGGTTGTGTTGACTATAAATTTTTCAAATCATGGCCCCCAGGGTAGGGTGGGGGTGCAAAGGGCAATCAAAATTTTACATTGAAATAAACAAGAAAAATCTTCTCAAGAACCATTGTACCAGAAAAGCTGAAACTTTAAGGTAGAGTAGATTCTTAATTGTTCAGATCATGGCCCCCAGGGTAAGCTGGGGCCTCAATAGGGGATAAAAATAAAATAAATATTAAAGTATTATATTGAAATATATAGGAAAAATCTTTTCAAAATCATCTTCTTAACAACCACTCTTCCAAAAAAGCTGAAACTTGTTTGCAAGCTTCCTGAGGTAGTTTAGATTGTAAATTGTTCAAATAATGTCCTACAGGGGAAAGTTTGGGCCACAATAGGGAATCAAAAGTTTTACATTAAAATATATTGTAGGAAAAATCTTTAAATATCTTCTTCTCAAAACCACTGGGCCAAAAAAGCAGAAAGTAATTATTGGAGAGCAGCGTTTGTGTGTGTATCAGACTAACACATTTTTAAATTTTATTTTAGATATATTTTTGAAACTCTTTTCACCTAAAATATGATTTATAAAATGAATCATACGTCTAATAAGTGCTACATATAAATGTATTCATTTGGCAAAAACAATTTTTTAACAAAAGTGACTGTGATATATATATGAACACAGTTAAAATTGAAAGTCAAAGGTGAGGCACCCAGTGAATAAATTTATGAAAGTGTATTCTTTCTTTTTACATTGAATTCTATTAAACTTTTTTTCCTTCATATTATTAGGTTTTTGAAACATGATTTTTAGTGGGATTAATTTTTGTATAAATCCGATGTCAGTTTCCTTTATCCATGAGTCTATCTGTACTAAATTTTCGTTGCAGTTTTCTCAGCAACTACTCATCATAGATATTGATTCATGAGCGTATATTCATATAAGAGCGGGGGTATTACTAGTGAGTATTGCCTCACAGTCTTCTTGTTTTATTTGCAGTGGTGGAACTTCATTTACAGTTTTAGGAAAAGGATTTACAGATGCACTGGAGTCTCTGTATGTTGAACTTGGAAACAATGAGGTGAGATTTGAAATGTTTAATTTGATCAATTCAGCTGTTATTTTGCTATAATGACAGTATCATATATGCTGTGAATTTTCACTTCATGTGAAACTTCTATGCTAAAAGAAAAACCACTAAGAACTTTGATCATTGATCACATTATACTGTAAAAGTGGTAATATTGGCGAGAAGAAAGTTTTACAATTTTCTTAAAACATTGCTGAGTGGAACTTTTACAATTTTTTTTCACTATGCTACCTATACAAAAAGGAGTTATCTTTTTTTGCTTCCTTACATGCACAAAAAAATTGTCTCTCCCTTGGCTACAAATAAACCTTTGTCAAGTATTTGTGTTTTTCCTATACATGTATACATGCATTTCTTTTCGGGATCGAGATGCACTACTATTTATAGATGAATGATAATGATAAAGATCATGATCAATGAAGGATAATCAAAAAAATTGGAGAGTTATAGCTATTTGTCAATGTTTCCTCCCTGTCAAATTTTCCACTTTAACAGTATTTATATTTTCAACTGTTTTCTCTTTGACAACTCTTTGAAAGTTAAGTGTGTTAATTTCTCAATATTTAGGTAACAACTGAATGTAAATTTTGCCAAGTGAAAGGTCAAGTGCTAAATATTCAAGTCAAATTCCCTTGCAGTCATTTTGTCTGATGTCAGTGGGCTGGGGGACTATGGAAATAAACATGGAATGCTTCATGTATTTCAATTCTACTAGACATCATTTTTGATTTATATTTACATCTTTATTACATAATCACTGTCTAATTTGTTGGGTATGCCAGGGACATTAACCACAGTTGGAAACATGGGATGGTTTATGCATAACGGTTTTTGCCCATTATGCAAATTATCTGATGTTTCCAACTTGTTAGTGCCCTGGCATACCCAACACTCTAGGCAGTGATTCCTTAATTTAAGAGAGGAAAAAGATTTCATATGACAGTGATGAATATTGAAGTATTTCATTTCCTTTTTCTTTATATCCAAATACATCATTTTTTGTTTGTACCGAAACATAATCAATTTATTTTGATCCCTAGGAATCGAGAACTTCATGCAAAAGAAAGAATGATGAAGAGATAAGCTGTAGCTTTCCGGGAAGAGGAGACCTAAATAGGCACCGCAGGAAAAGGGCCACTCAGGCTACTGTTGTCATTCACTTGGACAGATATACAAAAATACTCTCCGATTCAGTTTTGTATGTGGATGATCCAAAATTAGAAGCATTTCAGCAAAATCAAACCTACGAGTTTGATCCAGATAAACATGATTCTATTTTGCTTCAAGTAAGTTCAGAGACTTGTACAAGGTTATTTTATCATAAGCCTAAAAATTGAATTAAAATATTCTCTAAATAATTCAATTAGTATACCCTTTTTTCCACGAGAAGTTCAGAGCTACTTGAAGTCTTAATTACCAGAAGTGAAGTCTTACCAGAGACTTCTGTTTAATACATCAAATATTTTAAATATGACAAGTTTACTACAAGAAAAACTTTGTTTTTCTCCTGTAATTAAGGGAAGTCAGCTTGCAGTTGTGACCAGCAAAGAGGACTACTTTGTTTTGGTGGGGAGTGGAGAATGTGCAGTTACGAACCTGAACAATTATAATCTGACATGCCGTCCTCCCTCCAGAAAACCAGACCCTCGTCTTCAGGAAGATAGGCTTTATATCAGGGTATTTTAAAAATATTTGATACATACAACATGCAAAATATGTACAGAAATAAAGATAATCGCCCTTTGTTATTTTGAAACAAGAAATAATACAATTCTAGTAGTTGAATTTTTGTGTGATTATACTCGACCTACAAAAAAATTGCCAAAATCATGGAATTTGAGATTTATTTGGAAGAGAATAATGACTCAGATAATTGTTGTAGTCCATGGGCCTCTTGTTTTTAAAAGGTATATTATATACTGTTAAAGTATTACATTTGGTTTTGTATTCTATTTAGTGCCTTTAGTGGAAAGCAGCTTCCACTAAATGTCTTTTATACATACATTTATGTCTTGCACATTCAGAAATGCACTTATTCAAATCTATTATGCTAAATTGCTGGAAAATCAGTATCTGCCAAATATCGTACTTGCTAAATATAATTCATTTACAGTATATTTGCTTAAAAAGCATAATAGATTTAATTAAGATAATTCTCACGGACCATTTTTGGAACTTTGCTATTTTCAAGTATCTTTGATTTTCACAGATTAGAGTCGATAATCTGAATATCTAGTTTTGCTGGGATTATGATTTTTTTTTCATGTATCTTTGATTTTTATAGATTCGAGTGGGCAATCTGAATAATGTTGTTGGGATTATTGAATATGTTGAAGACCCTCCCATCATGTACATCATCATTGGTGTGTTAGGTTTCCTCCTCATTGCGTGTCTCATAGCTGGAGTCTTCATCCACAGGAGAATTCGGACTCGCAATCAGAAAAAAATCGAAACGATGATGTCAGAAATGCATGAATTAGAACAGAACACAATGCGCATAAACCAAGAAGGTTGGTTGAAATTCAGTGCTTCAATTTTGTTAAATAATGATTATGTGTACAATGTATTTTAAAGAGGTTTCATTTTTTATTAAATTTCAGTCATTCATTCTTTTTCTAGAGTTTGCTGAGATGCAACTTAATATCACAGACATAAAGCGTGACCTAGTTTCTACAGGAATTCCCTACCACTCCTATCAAAACTACAGTCAGTACATGCTGTTTCCAAAGGAAGTGGAAGCTGGCACTCTGTTAAGCTTTCTGCAGCATAGCGGGGTAATATTCAAAACTAAATTTGCTTTTTCTGATCTAATGGATAATGCTGTTCTACTACATTTAACATTTTTATTTGGAAAGATTGTTTGCACCAAATATATAATACAAAAATCTAAATGCAGTGCTATTTGAGCCCTACAACAAAATTGTGGCTACCCTACAGAAATCATTCTGTTTTTTGTCTGTTTGTCCATCTTCTATATGATGGGATGTTTTTGATAACTTAAGATCTACAGACTTTTTTGTTTTGAGGGGGTTTTGGGGGGTTAGGTTGTTAAATTAAGGCAAATTGGTCAGAGGTCAAGGTCAGATGGTCAAGATAAACGATAATTAAAAATAAATAATATGAATGAAAATATGAAAATGATAATACCCCCATTTAGTGCAAATTAAAAGCTGGCTAAAACTTGGCCCTTTTGTCTAAGCTGTGCATGATGCTCTAAGGGTTCTCAAGTTTCACAATGGCCAAAGTAGGGGGTGGGGGGAACATGAAATGTGGTTCAGGAAAAAAAATTGCAAAATGACACTCAGATGACCTTTAAAGCCAATGGCCTCTTGTTCTTATACCACACATTTTAATATGTTAATGTAAAATTGTCATTTTCTTATTTTCAATTTATCTGCTGCTCTGTCATTCAGTTTTAGAGCTATTATTTCTCTCCTAATTGTCAAGGTTTACTTTAATTTACTGTGCTAATTTTTACTATCCATTAAAAGAAAAAAAAATAAATTATAGGTTCACAGTTGAATTGCGTTGCAATCATATTTTGACAGTATTCCAGTAAAAATGTCGAGAAGGCCATGGACCAGTTTGAGAAGCTGATGTCTAACAAATACTTTGTCAAGTCTCTTATTGGTACACTGGAGAGACAAAGGAAGATAACTCTGATTGACAAGTAGGTCACCTTGACCTAATTCCTGATTTTCTTTTGAGCTCTATCTTAGCACATTAGTTTGCCTCTTTATGGTACTCCAGTAGCCTTTTTCACAAAAATTCTTACGACTAAGATTAAAATTTGACAACTCTGAAATTTCTTTTTTAATAAAGAAAATTATTATTTTAGAAGAATAATTCACAATATACTGTAATGTAATAGAAATATAAGATTTTTTTTGTAACCTACTACAATTTATGTACAAGTAGAAGAATTGGAAAATTTTAATCTTAGTAGTAAGATTTTTTGTGAAAAGGGCTACAGAACTGTAAGAGCTAATGAGCATATTCATATAAAATATATACAATATATGAAATTATAAAACAGCTTTTTTTTTCTATTCAAGGGCACAATTTTCTGCTAACTTCAGTGTTGTAATGGTGGGAAAGATGAGAGATTTCTTTGAGTTAGTGAACATTTTTTTTCTATTACATATAAAATCGTTTGCCATTTTTAATTAAGATATGATATTATCTATGTTGTAAAAGCAGATATTGGTGTTACTGTGGCATTTTTTTTTTCAGAATTGTGAACTGTTTGCTGTCAACCTTGGTTGATTCCTCCCACAAAAAACTGCACAAGACCTTGTTTAATAGGTATATTTACAGCAAATTATTGAGAAATTCACTACTAGATAGTATGATATGATAAAAAAAAATAAGCTTATAATAATGGAATTACCCTCTTTAAGTCTTGTTTCAAATTCATCCATTTCAGATTTGAGTCCATTACTTTGAGACTACTTTCACACTGGCTTTCCATTTCACTCTATCCTTACTTGAAGGTAAAGTATGGTGGGAGATTTTTTTTCAAATTAAGTCTGATTTTTAAAGGTTAAATGATGTGTCTAATGTGGTTCAAATAATTTCATTGATATGGAGAGCTATTTTCGTCAATAATAAATTTGAATTGCAATAGAGCATTGATTTTTGCTGATCTTTGACATTTAAATAAGAGGTTTTGAACTCAAGTGAGCCACAGACCCAAGTTTGCTTTTCTGATCAAAGAGTGTCTGATGTCTGTCTGTTCATCTGTCTGTGGACTCTAAACTTTTCCATATTTAATTCTCCAATGATACTGGGCCAGTTTCAACAAAACTTTCCACAAAGCATTTTCCAATGTGAAGTTAATTTTATTCCAATAAAGGCAACATCTTTCCTGAGGATAAGTTAGCTAGGTTATGAAAAAATATTTAAAATTTGGTGGTCAATTAAAAATCTCAAAGTTCATAGAACCACTGGACCAGAGAAGAATAAACCTATCTATGTGAACGCTTCCTCATAGAGTTAGAATCAAGCTTGTGCAAAGCAATAGGGGGTCAAAATTTTGCATAAGAATATATAGGGAAATCTTCTTTTTTTTTTTTTAAATCTCAAAACAGTAGGGCCATGTATTAGTAGTTCTGATATATACAAACATTAATTCTCAAATAGTGTACACATCATTGGGACAAGGATGGGGCCACAAAAGGTCATAGTTTGCCATAGGAATGTATAATGTTTAAAAGATCTTCATCATTAAGTAACTATTGAGAATGCATCTTTGTTCAAGCACTTACTGGTTTTGTGTGCCAAGTAAGGGCCTAGAGGAACAAAGTTTTATACAAAATTCTGACTTTTTCCAAATACAAAAAAAAAAGATTTTTATTTAAAAAAAAAAACATTATACAAATACAGTTTATTAATGAGGATTAAACTTGATGAAATTATGGCATTTTACTTAAATAATGGGTTTCATTCGAGTAGATATAATTACCCATAGGTCCATGAGCTCTTATGACTGAGATATTAAAGAGAATGATTTTTTTTTTCATACAGGAAGGTGGAGGGTCATCCCTGTTCATGCTTTACAAATCCACCCAGGCTGTGGTCGAGAAAAGACCAGTAGATGAAGTGACAGGAGAGGCTAAAAATACCTTATCTGAAGAAAACTTCCTCAGGGAGAAGATTGACTGTCAGACCCTGGTGAGCCCAGTTTTGAAGAAAAAAAAAATAGTCAAGAAAACTTGATTGCATAGATCTGCTAAGAAAATTTCAAAAAAAAAAAAAATCTGCATGCTGCTAAGATAGAAAATAAATTGCATTGTTGCACTAAGAATTGAAAAAAAAATCAATTGCATTGATGTGCTAGGAAATTGAAAAAAAAATCTTCAGATAAGATAAAAATTAATTGTCTTGATCCACTAAGAAATTAAAAAAAAATAAAATAGTGATTGCATTGATCTGCTTACTTATATAGAAAATAAAAGAAGATCTGCAGTTAAGATTAAAAAAAAAATTAAAAAATTGATTGCATTGATCTGCTAAGAAAATTGAAAAAAAAAAAGAATTTAAAATCAATTACTGGTAGAAATAGTGGATTAGCATATAAGATTGCTGATTGAAGAGATGATTTTTTCCCCTCCAAAGACTTTGGAGGGAGGTTATACCATATGAAATCAAGATGTGCATATATATATATATATATATATATATATATATATATATATATATATATATATATACATTGTATGCTATCTCTTTCTAGGAATCACACATTTGACAGGAGGGTTGGTAATGATAAAAGGTTGTAATATCAATTTGGTAGCTGTAGTTTTTATACTGGTTTAAACTGTAATTATATATTTTAGAAACTTGAGATTGACTTAAATGGCAATGGTAACTTGTACACCTGTGAGGTTCTGGACTGTGATACAATCAACCAAGTTAAGAGCAAGTGCCTCTACCAAATATACAAGAACAAACCTGCCTCAGAAATGCCAACTATAGATGAAGTGGATTTAGGTTGGTACTTTTTAATTTTAATATCATTGTAGTTTTTTCTTTGATGATCTTCAAAATTCTTGACATCATGCATGTTGACAATGCGGTAAATAGTGTCAATGTCAGTCCATAGGCCTTGCAAAATAATGAAGAAAAAAACTGGATAAGTAGACTTCAGTACTGTTGACTGCCCAGCTTATCTCAGTATATATACACAGCGTGTCAAGGGCAATATTGAGGTGATTTATGTTAACTTCAGTTTAATTTCTACTTTTTCAGACATTTCCAACAGTTAACTTTAAGCCTATCATTACTTTGCAATGAATTTTTATGCATTGAGTTCATCTCTTGATATCTTGACACCCAAAGTATCTAAATATCTTTTGATAGTCCCACAGCATCTTCGCTAGCCAAGGGTTTTTGATATGCTACTCTCCTAACAAACCCTTGGCATACGGTGCAGTCAAAAGTTGGGATTGTTTACGACACATGATCTCGAATCTTCCAACTGCGTTATCGACAAAAATAAAAGGCGTATTTGAAAATTTAAGTTTTTAGAGAATAATTTAAAATAACTTAATGAAGATACCAAGAAATGTTTATTTGTTATTTATCGTGCAAATCTACATCTACAATAAGATTCCTGATCACAATATTTGTATATCAGCTTAAGATTGTATGACACCATATCTTTTTATAGAGTGGCATGTTATCTTACTGATCGTTGTATACTTGTGTTTTTCATTCCCAAGACTAAAGAATCAAGATATATCCTGAAGGCAAATATCATCATTTACAAAAACAATTGCTGGTTGGTTGAACGATGTCGATCAACTCCAATCACAACTCAAGCAAAAAAATCCAACATACTTTTAATAACACTGTATGCCAAGGGTTTGTGAGGAGAGTAGCGGATCAGAAACCCTTGGCTAGCGAAGATGGTCCCACAGGATTTTTTGTTTTGTATTTGCCATAGGATGTTACATTTACTTGGGACATGTGCATTGCAAGCTCTAATAAATTTAGCCAAAGATAAAATATCAGTAAAGTTAAATCTTTGTGAACATAAAATTCTAGCTAGAATATATGAATTTAGATTTGGATTGAAAATGTTGAATTTATAGAATGGATGGCTGGCAAGAGTGGTCGATTGACTTTGAGCAACATTGACCAAACTAGTGAGCGTGGGGATGGCATGGTTCGCCGTAACACACTAAAACACTACCATGTACTAGATGGTAGTCGTATGGCCTTACTGTACAAGTTCACCCCTGATGATGAACAAGAAGAAGAAGATACATATGGTACCAAAACTAGAGTATTAATTTTCTTTTTATTAATCCAGGTTAAAGCTCCAGTTCCTAATACATGTAATAGATATATGGCAAGGTAAATCTAGGTTCCTTAACTTGTGCAAATTTGTTACCAGTTTTTCTCCAACTGGAGTTCCTTAATCTTTTTAACTGTCAGGAAGCACGAGACACCAAGTATCTTTTAACACTTAGAAAGTTAAGGAATGAGATCGAGTTTGAGAAATGCCAGTAATTAAGTAACTTAATTACTTAATTAATTAATTTAGTGGATTGGAAGAAAAAAAGAGTTAGAGTTTGAAGCAATAATGTTCAAAAGAAACCTCTTTTAATTTAACCCTGAAAATACTAGATCCACTTCTAAAACATTTCTAGTTTTAGATAAATTTTTTTCTGATTTAGTAAACCAGCGCTCTCCATCAGATGTAGACATCACTATTCCAGCCAATGTTCAATTGATTCAATCTGTGTCAACGACTGGAAGTCTGGAAAACCTCAGACAGTGGCATCTGGTAAACTTTGATATTTAAGCAAATGAAATTATACCATTGCTGAAGCTCAGTCATATTTTGATTATTACCAAAATAAATTTCACCAGGTTACATATACTGTAGTCATTGAAGTATTGGTAAGGTTCTTACCTCTAAGCAAAACATTGAAAAGTAAATTCATCAGGGTAACTAAACCTGGGAACCAATTTTCATTTAATAATGATCAAAAACCTTAAAAATATAAGAAAGATATCAGTTTCTACTAAAATAATTCTTTTCTCAAACTTGACTAATTAAATCCAGTCTAATCTGGATCTCAATACAATGGGACATAAATTTGTTGGAATATAGACAAATACTCAAATTGCAGAGTGTAAAAAATATACAAAATGAAATAAAAATCTTAATAAAGGTTGAATTTCATAGTGAAACAGATTGCACAGGTGTCAGATTGGACAGATTTTACTGTATATCTTCAACACTTGTAGGTGAAGAACCTGGAGGAGGAAGACTCACACGAGAAGAGTATAAAACTGAAGGACATCGTGAAGACAAGTCACATCACCAACCTAATGCATACAAAAGTGGGTGATAATTTATTTCCAATTTTATAAAATGTAAAAATGAATCTATTGAAAGCAGTAAAAAAAAAAAGAAATCGAATCATATCTCTCTGATAATAATTGCTCACATCTAGCTGATACAGTCCCTGAAACGTTCTACTTTCCCACTTAAACGGTGAGCGAACGCTGAACGAATGGTGAACGAACGCTGAACGAACGCAGAGCGAACGGTGAGTGAACGATCTGTGAACGCTGAACGCAACTTGGTGAACGATGTGTGAACGGTGAGCGAACGCAGAATGCGAACGGAGCGCAAACGTGAACGCAAAGTGAACGGTGAACGAACGGTGAACGCAAGATGAACGATATATTCGGAATGCCTCTGATCTTTTCCTTGCATTGAAACTATTTTATTGTATTATAATGTTAGGTGCCCCCCCCCCCCCCCCCCCCAAAAAAAAAAAAATAATAAATAAGTAAACCAATAAATGAATGAATAAATAAGTCAATAAAATAAATTCTCCAAAATTGTCCTAAGAAAGACGATGCATGTACATTAAGTTTTTAATCACACGATTTCTATCGTATTAAAACATTGTAATTGTTGCCGAACGCTGAAGTATAAAAGATGTTTTTTTTAGTTGGAAAATAAAAATGTTTATTCTTATTTGATAACAAATCAGAGAAAACTTCTGACTTACAGAATGAATTAAAGCGGTTGTAATATCCATTCATATATCTCCGTGTCAAGGCGATTTCATGTAAAGTAATGAAAAAAAATTAATTACAAAGGTCAGTGGACGTTTTGCATTTATACGCTCGTATTTTAAATGTTTAATACAATAATATATTATGTCATTTCTATTTTTCATGATGATTTATTGAGCAGACTTCTACATGTATCTGTAGATGGCCGTGATTATACTCCGACAAGATAATACAAAGATGCATATTCATATTATTTGTTATAAATTCAATTTTCAGAACTTGATATATAAGTAATATGCTGTTTTAGTGTTCATTAAACAGACAAATGAGAGAGAGAGAGATTCCGTTTTAGCCCCCCCCCCCCTTTCAGGCTTCACTAAATGTTTGTACCTATATCAAACAAAAACTCTGAATTTTTTTTTCTTCTAAATATATCAGACAGTGAAAGTATTTTTTTTTTAAATCAACAAATCATATCCATTTGTTTGACAGTCATACTCGTTTTTTTATTTTCCTGCTTCAAGTTCACACGAAGTCCACGTGCTTGTGCTGTCAATAAAAATCATTCGACACTGTGCAGGTGTGAAAGTTTCGTCACATCGAAGGCGAAGTGCGAGTATTTCCAACAAGTTATAATATTTATTTTTATCATTTCTAGATTTGATTCCAACATTTAAATAATAAATGAATAAAATACATTGGGCATTAACACTTGAATTTGAAACATACTCTCTGCCAATTTCAAATACCACCGCCGACACGTGTACATTTTGAACTACTATTGTTTTGTGACTTTTTTAGATGCATGATTGTTTTGAGACTGAAATTTTTGTTCTAAAAAAGACCTTAACTTTTTTTTTAAAATGTTAATTAAAATATTCTGGAAATACAGTACTGTCTAAGTAACCGATTTAGGGGGAAAGTGGGGGGGGGGGGGTATTAATCATATCGAATGGCAAACATATAAAGTTACGGTGAAGAAAGAATTTTTTTTTCTCTATAACTATAAACTCAACATATTATAGTAGAGAAAATTCTGTAGTGCATTACATTTTAAGTAAATATTTCCTTTAACCACACTATCAATTTCATTCGCTCCAAAGATAATAAATTAACAGGATATCCGCAGTACTATGTATAACTCTCCGAACTAGTTCTCTCATATTTTCTATAGTAATTGAAAAAAAAAAAACGTGTTAGAAATAAATATTTTCATAATTTTGCTGCGTAATTATTTTACTTGGATAATTATATCACAAACATTTAATTTAAAATAACAACAAATTGTTGCAGTGCTTGAAGTATTTGCACATTGCACTTAGTTAAATTTAATATTTCAGCATCGGTCTACATAGGTACAGAATGTGCTTATAACAACATTTATTTTCCAGAGTAATTTAATAAATAACCTAACAGCTAAGTTAGAATAATAAATATGTATATCGTAGATATTTTTCCCCATGAAATAATGATTCTTCAAACACGATATGTTAGTTATTAAATTTAAAAAAACCTGTAACTCCTTACCTACAAAAAGATAAGTCCTTTCACTTCGGAGTTCCGAATGACAATCAAAACTGAACGATAGGTGAATGCTGAACGCAAGGTGAATGCAAAGTGAACGGAACGAAGAGCGAACGCTGAACGCTTTGTGAACGGTGAACGCGAGCGCACGGTGAACGGTGAATGCAAAACTGTGAACGGAGAGCGAACAGTGAACGAACAGTGAATGCACGCTGAACGAACGGTGAACGAACGGTGAGCGAACGGAAAAATGGGAAAGTAGAACGTTTCAGGGACTGTATAAAAAAAGTACCTACACTATTAGGAATTATTTCTTAATATTATACTTTCATGTAAATTAGTTGAATGTGATTCGTCGAGAAACATTTGTTAAAAAACACTATTACCCGCTGAATACTGAAGCCATGCCCTCCAGCATAGCAACAGTCGACAATGCTTGACGACGGGTGATGTTTTTAAAAATAGTGATTGCGCAGAATTTATGTGCGCAAGATTCACTGTTATATGTACATGTATTTGTATAAAACATTCAGTATAATATAATGAATATTGCATGTAGTTGAGTGTAAACATTGAAAATTTTCACCCCTCGAAAACTATTGTCAACCTCGGCTGATTATCAGTGTTTCATCGGGATCGGGATTCGCTAGCGAAGTTGTTTACTTTTCGCCTGCATGTCTCAATTTCAATTAACTGGTACTTTTTTCCTATAATTAAGATTGTTTTATGGAAAGAGAGTGATTAAAATTTACTGGATAGACATTTGTAAGGAAATATTTTGAAATCCTCAGCAACTTTCTTCCTTCTAACCCAGTTTTAATGTATTAAAAAAAATAAATGTTTTGCTTAATTGAATAAAATTTTCTTTCAACATTGCAATTGAGAACAATACAGTCAAACCTCGTTATCTCGAACTCGATGGAACCAATAAAAAAACTTCAAGATACCTGGATTTCAAAATATCAGAATTTCTGCTTTGATGATCAATTTTTTGGATGTGTCAGCATACATGTACCTCACACGCTTTATACTGTATTGCAATTTGTTCTTTCAATTACCAAAAGCTTTTACAAATATAGGGGAAAAAAAATTACCAAAAGTGATTATTCTCTTTTTCCCATATTTAAAATTGTCTAATTGGTACTGATTTCAGGCAGAATTGCACTTCTAATTTGTGTCTTGTCATAATAGATCACTAATACAGCCACATTATGATGTTGCTTGTGCTTATATATATATATATATATATATATATATATATATATATATATATATATATGTATATATATATATACATACATGCAAATGGAAAACCGGAAACGATACCTTTTGCTAAAAAGGAATTAATGCAGGATCAAATTTCAAAAGAATTATTTCATGCTAGTTATTTTATCAAGAAATGGATGCTTAAGCATAATATTGTAAAAGTATTAGAATTTTCATACACAAACACAAGAAATTAAATGTATTACAAAACATATTTTAACCATTTTGATAAAGTGTTGTCTGGAATGCCACAAATCTTGGCAATGGCAGCTTTATTCAGGATATTTTTTTTACTTCTAAGAGAGCTTGAAACTTTGTTTCAATAGGTTGTACCATTCATTTTCTTTATTTACAACCCCAAGATAACTCCAACTACCGGTACCCCCCCTCCCCCCCTCCTCCCCAAGGGATTTAGACCTGGTCCTGCATTGGGTTGCTTATAATGGAAAGTTATCTGGTCTGATTCAGTGATAAAATTTGCATGTTTATAATGAACTTCATATAATCAAATACAACTTTGATTTTGGTGTATTTTATTAAAAAAAAATTAATCAAATTCTAAAGTGCATATTATTAAATGCAGTTTGGTCAGAAGGACTGCGATCTTGTTTATAAAAGGTCAACAGAATGCATGCACCCAAAGCTGTCAATCAAGTATCATGTCATCTATAAGCCAAATGACTTGAGTCAATTCAGAAACAAAAAATAAACTTATTGTTTTATACATCTGAAATTATCAATCAAAGAAGGGGTACCTGGTTTAGAAAGGTATGAAATTTGTCCGTCCTCAGGGAATTAATTAGTGCTGTAAAGGATGGTCATGCAACTGGTGAACAGTTATATTTAGCAGACAGAAATTTGACAATTAAGATTTTGAGATAAGCTAGGTATAAATGGTACTGAGGCCTGAAATGTACTTCTCAAATAACTGGAGTAATTGATATATCCGTGTTTGAGATATCCCAAGTTTTTAAAATCATTTAATATATATTAAACATGCCCAGGACCAAGAACTTACTTAGATACATACCCATGCAGGGTATTTGAGATATCTGTGTTCGAGATACTGAAGTTATAACCTGTATTTGATTTTTATAGAAAATTGTTAATATGGAAAAATAATAAATATATTCAGGATATACCCCTGAAACAAAGTGATGTATAATGCAATCTTGCATGTGGTTGTTTTCCCTACATATGCAGCTTAAGAAATATCTAATGTTTTGAGAGAAAGAAGAAAATTGTACTTCTGAAAATGCCAATTTCAACTTGCTACTACCAGTAATCTTAATCATTTTGTTTAAATAATTATTTTATTTTTAATTTTTTACCACTGTGCTTGGGATTTTCAGCTAGTCTTACAGGACAATATTAAAGAAGTATTTGACAGTGTCCTGAACCATGAGACGGTTCCGTTAGTGGTGCATTACCTATTTGGCGTATTGGAAAATCTGGCTAATAAGAATGGTGTTGAACCAGAAACTTTACTGTGTTGGAAGAGTGAAAGGTAGATTAACACTAGAAAATCTCTGCTGGGCTGGAGGTCAGAATTAATTTTTGTGTGGGTAAAAAAAAGGTTTGCAAATCAAACAGAAGCTGTACCAATGGGGGTTATATTTCAATGAGGGTCATGCTTTTAAAAAGGTTGGTGGGGGTCATTGTGAAAAATTTAGGAATGTAGGAGTTTCAATAAAAAATTGAAAAACCCAACAACTATAATAAAATATTTCTAAATGTATTTCTCTGTTCTTGAAGCTTTATGTGATGTATGCTTAGATCCATATAACCTCTAAGAGAATCTACCTGTTTTAAAACTTTACACATACCCAAAATTATCTACATTGTACATTGTATATAAATTATATTTATGTATCTCAAAATATCTGCACTTCCTTTCCTTCTCTGTCTTGATATTCGGAAGAATATGATACAGAAGCTGAAAAAAAACTTTCAAATTAAAACCAAATGCTGTAAAGAAATCAATGATAATCCAGTGTAAACTTTATTTGGACAACTTTTCCCATGTATTATAAAAGGTAATACATGTATTATATAATGTACATTTAAGAATTGTAGTTCTAGATGCAAGGCAGCGTTGTTTGGCAGCTTTATTTGTGTAAACAGTGTATTATTTACTTGTATATATGAAGAAAAAAAATGCTAGAGAGAAAACTTACGTTTTCTAGTCATTTTACCACACAAAGACTGGTTGTTACTTTTGGAGTTAACATAGGAGACATTTTTATACATTTATATAGAGTGAATAGTTTGGTGATAGGGTACTAACTTTGAAATTCCCATATTAACATCTAACATGTACAGCTCATGTAATTATACTAATTAGAAATCTCATACACCATCCATGGCATGTAACTAGTATGTATAGAAAAGAAAGACCTTATTTGTACTCTTCTATCTTTTAAGAAATTTGGAGATGTTGATTGATGAATGATCGAAAGCTTATATAAGTAAGGTTTGATTATGTGGGTATGTAAGGTAAATCTCTATATTGTGATCAGTTGGGTTAATTGTCAAAAATTTGTAAGGTTTCCTTGCCAGTGTTTCTACTAAAGGAACTTTATCAATTTTCAACAAAAGGCTTTCCAAATCTCCCAACTTCAAAACATTAACAAACATGTTGTAACAAATTCCTGCAGCTCTCTCAAATTCAAATTCATAATTATTGAAGATCAATAGGTACTTTTTCCATGTATTCCTTAGTTGGGTTAAGCTATATTAAGCAATTGGAAATAGAACTTAACAGCAATACATTTAGAATGGCACATAAGAATGTGGTGTGTGGATTATAGAGAGTTTCTCTAGTGTATTGTTGGGTGAACATCACTCTCTTGTAAAGCATGCTTCACTGCTAGGCTTAGTAGTCAGGTTTCTCTGATATATTCAAATATGGAATGCCACCACTGTGATTGGTTGCCATGGTTGTGTTGCCATGGAGACACTGGCTGTTTCTGTTACCTCCCCATGTCTGGATGTCTGTTTTGTTGCTGGATTGTGTTGCAATATTTGTGCCACAAGGGAAGTATATATACACTAGTTATAGTAAAGTACATGTGTCAGTATTATGGTTGAAACTAAATTCAAAATGATAACTTTTAATGGATTTTGTATCTTGCACTTATTTTTACATATCGATTCTTTTTTTGTTTTGTTTTATTTTGTTTTTGTTTGTTTTTTATTTTGTTTTGTTTGTTGTTTTTTTTTTGTTTAAGTAATGAATAATGAAATTCAAAAGTATCCCTTTAATTCAATGATAAAGAAATTAAAAATTTTATAAAGTATAATAAATTTGTATGGTTACAAGGCAGTCCAAATCTGTATACTTTGAAATCACTAATTTTTGTAGTGGTTTAATTTTTATTGTTTTCTTGGTATGAAGAAATGCCACAAATTCATGTCCTTCACTAAATGTGAAATTTCCACCATATAAGAACCCAACACTTCCATCCATGATAAAATCCCCTTGAACCAATATTTTTTTCCTGAAACCATGAAAATTTGACCCCCATGAAAATTAGTGATTTTACACTATAATGAAATGCAAATTAGCTGTCACATTTTTAACCAGTCATCCAACTTTGAATTTAATTATCATGCTTATGTGTACTCAACATTTAATGTGAATGGAAAAAAATTGTCTTGCATATAGGAAAAAAGTCAGTCATACTCATTACAAATGTAATCAGGTATTTTCTAGACACAGAAAGTAAAGATTGGTAAAGCATGAAATTTACTGCATGACTTTCAGAAGATGATATATTCTGCATGGCTATATGTATACAGTATAAGCAGATTTTGTGCCTCATTTTCCTTTGTGAAGATCTCTTTTGCAATGATGCGTCTTTTTTTTTTTTTTTTTCAAATTGAAGGATCTTTTTAAGAGTTTTGAATTTTCTTGGTAATGTCTTGAAGCACTGCATTCATAAAGTTAGAACTTTTTCATTGCTTTAATCAGAGCCAAATTATGATTTTTGCTGCACAGACAGAGCTGTGAAACCTTTTCTTAGATGGAAATATTAAAAAAAAAAGAGTTATCTCACACACTGGGGAAATGAACATTATTTTATTATGTTAGACATTACAATATATATTCATGAATATATTCCACTGTTCGCTTAAGGTTTTTACAGTTATGCACAACATTAAAGTAAAGTACTGCTCCAGCATTGATTTAAAAGGAAAAAAAAATTATAAATAATTTCTGATGATTTCACATTCTATTGAGTTACAGTCTTTAACGTAATATCAAAAATGGGCATGTACATGTGCTAAGCATATCAAATATTTAAAAAGAGCTGGAAATATAATTTTGGAGTGAGTTGCTTGCATGCATGTAGGAAAATTTTGACATTTATTTTTTTTTTTTAATTAACTTTGGGGAAAAAAATTACTTGCATCTGCAATTATTTTTGTTGTGGTGGCTTGAAACACACTACTGTGTAAATATAATTTCAATACCTTAAACACAAAGATCTAATTTAATAATATTCAATGATCACATTTTTTGAGACACAGCAGAAAAAAAGTTGCATTGCTTGTTTGTAATTTTTTATAGCTCACCTGAGCCAATGGCTCAAGTGAATATTTCTGATTGAAGGGTGTCGGTATTATGTCTGTTGTGTAAAGTTTTCCCATTTTTAGTCTCATCTCCAGAACCACTGGACCAATTTCAACCAAACATGCCACAAGGCATCCATGGGTGAATGGAAAAATTTTGTTCAAATGAAGAGCAAATGTTCTCTCTTAATGAGAGATAATTATATGTTAGGGATGTTTAAGAAAAGACAAAACATATATAACAGGGCTACAGTAAGTTGTGTTAACCTTCATAAACAAGGACCTTTATGCATTGTACAGTGTACCATCATGACACTAGGATAAAGCTACGTACAGTAAGAGGACAAAGTTATATATTAATAAAAATATAGGACAAATTTATTTTGCAGAACTTGTCACTGTTAGTCTAAATGATATGTCAGCATCCTCAGGAAGTGTACATTTGAAGTTGTTTAAACCAGAATCTCTTGAACACAGGTGGTATATTAACTACAATAGAGGGACAAATTTATACAATCAAACCTCATTATTTCAAACTCAATGGGACTAAGAAAAAAATTTGAGATATCCAAAGGCTTGAGATATTGAGGTTAAAATACATTAAGAATATACTGTGTGGACTTCCAAATCACTTCGACATGTCCATGGTATTTAAGATATTAGAATTGGATTCAGACTTGTTAATGAACTTTGAGGGTGTATAGGCATCACCTTGTCAATCAAATGTTACTTATATCCTAAAGGTTTGTGTTGATTTTGACACAAGGTCATTCTCATAAATTCAAGATCACTGGCAGAAAAGATATATATATATATTTTTTTTGATAAATACATATTGGAAGTTGATACTTTAAACAGAGATTATTAGTAAGGTGAGAGTATATCATAAACTTGACCAAAGGTCATTCTTTAAAGTTCAAGGTCACTGGCAGAAAAATTGTGGAATTTTCATATCTTTCTTATGGAGAATCATCAGATGTTAATATTTCACTTAAATATTACTTATGACCTGAGGATGTGTCATTTCATTCTGAAATTTCAGTTCATAGAAAATTGTTTAAATGGGAACTTTTTAAAGACTGCAAAGGAAGAGGATACAATTTTGTGAGGTCACTCCATTATTTTTCCATTATTTCCCGATCATGACAAGGAGCACACGGCGGGTGTGACCGGTCGGCAGGGGATGCTCACTCCTCCATGGCACCTGATCCCACCTCTGATGTTTTGGAGGTCCGTGTTTGCTCTGCACCTATTTTGTAATGTTTAATGGACTTTTGAGCTTGAATACTGTTTATCTCCATATATTTCATTCTTATACCTTTTGTTTAAATGATGACTCTGGTAATAGAAAAAGGGCCTAGAGAAGGGCATAAATTTTACACAGGAATAAACATAATATTTAAGAAAACTCTTAAAATAAATTTTTTTTTTATTAAGTCCCCAATTAGTCATTTTTAAATATGCAAACATCCCCCATGTATTTTAGATTAAAGTTTGTTCAGAACATAGCCACAGGGACTTGGTTAGGGTCGAAACTGTGGGAAAAAGTTTTACAAAAAAAATATAGGCATCCCAAAGAATAAGAAGGTTACAAGTTCATAAGTTGAAAGCCTCAATCTGTTGTTTTTTAAAATTGTTGAAGTCATGGACTTTTAATTTGGAGATGACAATATGATATTTCATCCTTCGACATATATATATATATATCAATTTGTTAGGAAGAGAATATTGAGTCAGGTGAGCATTGTCACCTATGGGCCTCTTCTGTTTTTTTGGGGTTTTTTTTGGAATTTTTTTTTTTTTTGCCAAGCATAGAAATTCGCACCAAATTACCCATTCCAATACCTATAGAATTTAGCCCCATATATACATGTATTTTTGAAACCTATAAAACATCTCTAGTTTTTGAAAAAGTACCCTTTCCTTTGAATGAAAAATCCTTCCCAAAATAATCTGAATTATATTTTCCTTAAAATTGAAGATAAATCCATACATGTACTTTTGCCTTTTAATTTTTTATAGATACAGTTTTGTTTAATGTTGATCAATCTACTATAATTACACATTTTAGCAAGTAAGTCACTCATAAAAATTGGGAGTACTGATACTATAGTTCTAATACATCATGGAATATTAATGCATGCATGGTATTACAGTTTTGCTAGGTGCGTTGCTTGAGAGAGGTGATGTTTTGTAACCCCCTTAACTATTTTCTCGCCTAGCTATGCCATGCGGGTGTGGGCGACACTCCTAGTCCGTCCTGAGTTTCTGTTTGACATTCAAAAAGTCAAGCACGTGGAGCCATGTCTTGATGTCATCAAGCAGGTCTTCATTGACTGTTTCCATTCCACCAAGATTAGCAAGGTCAGACAAGCGTTTTGATATATTTTTTTCCATAGCATGTATTGTTTATATTTGGTACCAGTGTTTCTGAAAACTGGATGCATAAAAATTGTATTAGTCTTAATTGATTTGTTTCAGATTAACAATTGATAAAATTTTCACAATTTTTCTTCCTACAGATGAAAAGCTAGTGAGTTCACCTTTTTCCCCCTTTAATATAATGTTTATATGAATATAATGTATTGTTCAGGATTCATCCCTGCAAAAGCTGCTGTTTGCCCAGGAAGTTCCACATTACCAGAAAAGAACAGAGCAGTTTTACAAGGCTTTAGCCAACAAGGCTGCAGTAACAGATGCTGATTTCTGGAACGAGATGTCCAGACTAAATACAGTAAGTAGAAATTTATTCAGACTCGTCGTTGTAAAAAAAGAAAATCTATTTGCTCTTATTTCATTGCAATTTTTTCTACTGTAACATTAATTTTTTTCCAATTTACATTTTTATTATAATTTAAGCCCAATGATTTATTACTATAAAAAGTTGTATATAGTAATTATAAGTTACATGTGCAAGTTAATTGATAATTATATGTGTTGTTTCCCTTTAGCTGCAGATCTGTAGCTCATTAATCTGAAAATTTTGCAAGCTAGCATCCAGATTTTTCATAGCAATGAACTTTACATATACAGCATAATGCCATAAATGAGTCAACTTTTTTAATGGCCGCCGATGTAGATCTGCAACTAACCTCCTTTGCAGTGAAGATTTCTTTTGTTTGTAGTTTGTTAATTTGTAATTTTATGAGCTTGAACATGCGATGAATCCTCCTTCTCTGTTTTCACAGTTACAGCAGGAGCATCTGAAATTCTCTAAACCCGCCGCTCTACAGAAGTTATACAAATTTGTTCAGCAGTACATTGAAGAGGTATATTTGTAGAGGGGTTTTATTTTTTATCATTAAATGCATTTCTATAGTTAAAATTTTGGTATCTCAAATACTGATATCCTGATTCCATGCAAGGATATATGGAAGTGATTTGAAAGTCCCAGTCACTCATTCTTTAATTATTTTACCCTCAGTATTTTGAATTTTCAGATATCTCAGTTTTTTCTCAGTCCCTTCAAATTGGAGATAAGGAGATTTGTCTGTATTTAAATATCTTCAGTTAACAGAAGGGGGAGAATCCGAATTAATATGGTTTTGTTGATTATGTTTTTAGATCATTGAGGATTTGGATGAAGGTCCTGAGACAAGTGGACTTCAATTCGGCAAGAAATTGGATGATATTTTCCGTCAGATGGAAACAGATTCCTGACTATATGATAGATAAAATGTTGATGTGATTGTCATAAAATGGACACTTAAAAGCTAAACTATCATTGCTGAAGTAGGTGTATGTTGCACCATAGCAGTGTGGTTTGGTGTATAGCCAAGCAATGTGTAGTTGTAGAAGGTATAAAACCCAAAAACCAAAGACGAGTCAAGAGAAGCAAAAGCTTAAAGCCTAAAATATTTTCTGTTTACACCATATAATTATGAAATATATATTCATGTATATGTACGTGCCTATAGTTCATTATATTTTGCCCAGATTTCTGTATTTTTAAGTTTCTACAAATGGTAGTTTGAGAAACAAGATGGTTGGAAAAGCAAGAGGTTGTTAGAGGTATGTGAAGCCCAGTGTCTAAAAATTTGGTGCAAATTTCTTTTTATAGCTTGCTATAATTTTTACCAATTTTTTTAAATGTACATCAGGAAATGTACTTCTTTTTTAAATGTAATTTTTAAAATGATTTTATACCCTTTACATTCAAAGCTACCCTGCCTTGTGTTTGAAAATGCTGTGAAAAAAAGTACTTTTTATTACAAATGTACATTTTGTAACAATCAAAGTAAATTTATGTTTTAAAATTGGGGTATTACAGTTGAAGGGACACATAGAGCTTCTTCCCTTTCTGTAAAATTGTAAACCAGTTGAAAGTATAAATGTACAAATCTCATGTTTATCATAGCAGCATTTCTCTCCTGTACTGCCTATTATACATATGCTTTGTATGTACGTATATAAGAACTTTGAATTTGACAGAAGCGTCCTTTTTGTAAAGATATTAAAATAGTTTATTTTGTGTTTTTATAATGAGAAATATTTTCAGGTAACAAAAGAGAGTCGAAAATTGATAAATCACTAGGATTGATTCCATATGTACACTATTTTAATCAATTTGATTTTACTATTGGAGCTCTTAAGTGAGCTTATCTCAGAAACAGACTGTGATGTTTATTATATGTATTAGAATAATTTATGGAGTGTACAGAGTATGAAAAGCATATATTGCAAGCTGAGAATTATCAGTGCTAGTAATGTTAAGACAAAACAGAAATGCACATACATGAGTTCTAAATGTAGTACTCTTTTTATTCCCAGTGTATAAATGTTCCTTCAAATTCAATCTTCATATATTTTAAAAATAGATATATTACATGTTAGCAGAAATATATACGTTTTTAGTAGTCTAATTTTAAAGCTCTTAATAGGTGATGGTGAAATTTTGTTACATTTTCAAGTCCATTTTTGTAGCATGCATTTAGTTATTTACTTGTATGTCTTAAAGATTCTTTTTGCATGATTTAATCAACCACATTTAGTAGGTGATTAATCCTTAGAAGATTTTTTAAAAATATGATTTAGATGATCTTAATTGATATTTTAACTCTTAGGAATTTGATTGACAATCTCCAAGATAATTTGCATAATATTGGTTAACAATCAAATTTTGATTTTTTTTCCCTCCAAGGACAAAAGAGTTACTACACATTTTATGGTACACAATAGATTTTTTTTTCTTCCTCCAACACATTCTATGGTACACTATACAAATTATTTTGAGGAACAATCACATGAAAGAATGAGAAATTCAACAGATTTCTGATTTCTTTTTTTTACGCAATTTTGCATGATGTTATTTTTCTTTTATTTTAATTTTTTTTTTGGTGAAAAACATGACATGAATGCTAAAAGTCAATTCATAAAATGACCTTAAGAGTTTGGGAATTTTACAACTCATACATATACTACTGAATTCTTAAGGACTGTTGTAAATAATACTTTTAACTTAGATTAAAAGTGGTGTAAATGTGTACAAGTAGAATGAGGAATCTACTAATAAGTGCTTATAATCAGTCATTCCATTCAAAAAATGTGTATTCTCACCATGCTTATTATACAAAGTAGAACAAAGAAATAAAGAATTATTTTCTTTTTGTCCCTGTTATTTTTTCAATATTAAACAAATGTTTATGTTTAGATATTACAGTATAGCGTTGTGTGTTTGAGTTAGAGGAAGAGAGGGGAGGGGCATTACTCTAGCAAATGTGTTACTTTTATGTAATTCAATTATAAAAGTTAAAGAACTCTTTTGGGATATAATGTAACCTAACTACCCATCATGTTAAAAACTAGAAATATGTCCATACGATATGAATGCCCCACCCAATTGTTAAAACTAGAAATATGTCCATACAATATGAATGCCCCACCCAATTTTATATTTCCATTGCAACATATGAAAGAAATGTAGTATCTTGTTTCCTTAGTCAAAGCTAATAGTAAAATGTGATTATTTTTTTCGTAAATAGGAGGGATATCTTTAAGACAATTTTTGTCTTTTGAAGCATGGTATATAATGTTTTATCCTATTGATCTTATGGTAAGTGCTATATGAAGTCTTGCTTCTCTCCGTATTTACATGTAGCAAATATACATGTACATTGTCTCTTCAGTTGGTATGGTTGAAATGCACTTGCAGAGAGTATCTATGTGTGGGCTACAAAGTGAAGTTCAAAGTTCAAGCTCTTAGGAAAGGACAAGGTCAAACAAGTATTGCACAGTTGAATTTTTCTCACTAGTGTGTATCATTGTACGGCATTTGATAAGAATATCTTAAAAAGTGAAGTTTGAGGTCACTTGCAAGGTCAATATCAGGAAAGTATGACGTAGTTGATTTGCTATCGCTAATTTGTATCAGCGTCTGAAGTTTGATGAATTTATCTTGAACAGTTTTTTAAAACTAAGTTAAAAGTTAAACGTAAAATAGTGAGGTCAAGGTCATAGAGGAGGTCAAGGACAGATAAATTGCTTTAACCAATTCGTGTCCGTATACAATATCGTGTTTGGAGTTTGATAAACAGCTCTATGAAACTAAGCGAAGTGCAAAATGAGGCATAATGAGGTCAAAGTCGTAGGGAAGACGAAGGTTAACTAAGTATGACAGTTGAAATACTCTTACCAATGTGTCTATTTGTTTCATAAAGTTTGATTTAAAAAAAATTCAACAATTTGAGGTAAATGCAGTGTGACAGATGGAAGGATGGAGAAAAAGAAGACAGAGATTTATATACCCCAGTCATATTCATCGAGGATTATACAAATGATGTAAAATTCTACAAAGATGAGGAAGGAAGAAAATGCGATAGTCCATGCCATGATGCGAACCTGGACCCCTAAACTCGAGACAGATGCTCTACCAATTGAGTTATCTGACCACCTAAATGCGATCGATCTGTCTTACAGAAAACATTTCTCCCTCCTAAAATGTCTGCTCCTGAATACACGAACCCAGGGTCTTCCATGACAGCTCTCTCAGTTAATTCCAGATCCTGGTCACGGCACCAAATATAACATGGGGAGAAAATGCGACTGACCAGACCAGTATTCGAAGTCAGGACACTGAGTTCTAATATTCGAAACTGGCCCCTGAATTCTAGACAGGTGCTCTACCAACTAAGCTACTAGTATCTGGTCATAGGCAATCGAACCTGGCACTTATGATGATTTATTAAATTTATTATAATTAACAGAGTTTTCAATAATTAATGTAGTTGTAGAAAAAAATTAGCTCTCTGGATCTCTCCCCACTAACTTAGTCGGAGACTAAATTTTACGTCCTCTTAGGATATGGAGTATTACATCGCCAGTATATATAATTGCGTCCGAAATTTAGACCCTTTAATAAAATGGGATCCTGATCTCTATTCATTACTAGTTTATATTGATCATGTGACATATTATTCTTCAATCGTCTTATGCCATATAATTGACTTTATAAAATTTCATATAAATTAGTTGAATCTGATTCGTCAAGAAACATTGGATGAAATTACGCCCTTCAGCGTGATAGAACGTAGCAACAGACAACATTGCTTGAAGACGGGTGATATTCCAAAATATGTTGACTGCGCAGAATTTATGCGCACACGGTTCACTGGTATATGCATTCAATATGATATAATAAATAATCCATTTAACTGAGCAGAGGGTAACGCTGACAATTTTCAATCAAGAAATTCATTGTCTACCGAGGCGCGGCTGAGGTTGACAGTTGTTTTTTTTCTTGGGGGGTGAACATTTTCAATGTTACCCTCAACTTAATGCAATGTTTAAATATAAAAATATCATAATGGATCTAGCATTAGACATCACTGTTTTTGTGAAGAGTATTTTGTTTTTGAGTACAAAGTAAGAAAAAGTTATAATTAATGAATCAAAATGAGCCAACAGTAAGTGAGGCATTCATGAACAGTACCAATAAATTTTCACACCTTGATATGTTTGGATTTATATTTATATTAACACGTTCCATTGTTTTTTGTAAAGGAATTGTGATGCACACACGATAACATAGACTAAGTAACACTACAGTTCGAGATTTAACCAACTTTATCGACAAATATCAAACCTTGAAGCTTTAGATTATATCGATATTTAAAATATTGAATATTTAACACGGTCACGGGGATACGCAATGACGAGTTAGGTCAGCCAGACGATGATATGCACTTTATGTACAATAATTTGGCAGCAACCAAAAGGTCCGATTGGTCTGGGGATTGATATATTTATCACATTTTGAGCTAGTCTTAGGACAAACTTAAAAAATCAACGAAGATGAACTTTTTAGAAATGGAAGAAACCGACGCTTTCTACGACTCATGTCGCACGAGGGCGCTACACGAGTTTAATGATGATTTAGAACAATCCCTTGAACTAACGAAAGACGTTCTTGATGCACTGGTTCAAAACAAATTAATTTCAAATCATGTGATGGATATTTTAAGCGGGGTAAGAATTTACATGGATAAAGAAATGTAATGGGGTAAAATATTTATTATTTCTTAAGAGAACCTTGTAGCAAAACCATTTAATGCAATCATATATACTAGTAATCGTAATCAAATTTTTTGTCAAGATAAAAGTAATTGATTTAAAACTGAAGATGATGAACTGCATCAAATGATGAACTTTCAAGGGACGTGTAAAAATAATTTTGATATTAAAGCATTAGCATAAATCATGCATATGTCTGCAACAAATAATAAAGGTACTTCATTTGCTATTCTTTCACTGTGTTGAATGAGATACAAGCCATAATCGAAATATCTTTTACATGTTAGCCATCTTTGGATAACGAAGCTAAAGTTCAGGGAGTTCTGTTTAACATCAAAAAAAATATGACAGAGGATAAATTCAACAGATTCCTTAGCGTCATTGAGAACACTGGTTTAAGACACATCGCAAAAGCGATCTGGAAGAGCTACTCTGAGAGGGCGAATGTCTTTCAACCTAAGACGAAACACGGTTTGTATAGCATTAATTTTTATTGATAATCTGAACTTTCAGCAAGCGCATAAATTTTCTTAATTGTATATTATAGTTATCATATTAATATAGATGAATGTTTTCTTTCAGTTGGTTGCCAAACTGAGAACAATGTGCCAACAAAACTTCCGATCAAAGAGAGACAAAAACTTTATCGAATTTATGACAAACTTAACAAAGGGTTGAAGGGTAAACATGGCCGACGCTTTCAATTTGATAACTCTCCCAAACCTGACGAAAATTCAATTCGAGTAGAAGATGTCGATAGAGAAATAGATAAATTATTGGAGGTGTTCCATGAGCAAATACATTACATTGCCAAATTCTGTGATAAACTTGGACTTCATGCTCACGAGTTACCGACCGTAAGCCAGGAAATAGAAAAGCTTGTTGGAAAATGCAAGACGTTAGAAGCGAAAGTGAACAGTCTGTCTGTAAACGCATTGTTTAGTCAATACTTAAAGGAAGAAACCAGCGCCTCTTCTTTTTCAAGTACAACCCAGAAGGAAAAGGAAAAATATCCGGAACAAATAAATTACAGAACTAGTACACCTGTACCAACTTTAGACCTTCAAACAACGCCAAGAACAAAAGTGAACAATATAGGGAGAGGCAACAGTAAAATCCACTTTGAAGATCGTGATGTGATTAAAAAGGACCCACAAGACAAAGAATCGTTTCTGAATCATCGAAAATCGTCAAAACAGACGACGACAACGACGACGACAAATGGATTCCGTATCGAAACCACAAGGACAAGCGCTATAATGCAAACTCATTTGTCCCCATTCGAGATCGCCATTCTCGAGCCTAAAACCAGAGAGGGTGTTCACTTTCCCTCACGTGATTATAATACAAAAACCAGTCATCAAAATTTTCAGTTTGGAAACGGGTCGAAACACCACGTACAAGGAAATCAAGGTGATATTCCAAGGACAGAAGTTTGGAAAAGTTTAAAGACGCGAAAACAATACACGAGGTCGACTGTTCATCATTCAATGTCTAATCATTAATTTTTAAAGCTACATATGCTTTCATTTGTTCATGTGAAAACGAGAAATACATATCGAATTCTATTTTCGTTCTTACATACATGTACAACCAAGTATGAAAATATTTATTTTTCTCTTCAAATATTTTAAAAGTCAAATATATACATGTATATTATATTCATCCCGTGTGTAATTTTTTTTTTCACAGGATGCAACTAATCGTGATTAAAATGCACGTGTTTTATTCAAGTGTTCCATTCAATACGGAATACCTGATATTTATTCACAGGAACAATGACACAATTTTATTCCTAATTTATCATGTCTACAGTCTTTGGCATGATTCAAGGACCCCCGAGTGAACATAATTGTTATTTTAATAGAGATATTAATCCAAAGATCCAAATTATTGCCAAATCACCTTCCACCATCGCTCTGTGCATTGTCATGATTGATAAAGCGATGAACTGCGATAACATACTATTTTTAAAGCAATTTGATTAACACATACATATGGGTATACTATTGTTGTCATTTATCTTGCCTTTAATTAATAGATATTTATTCTGTACCTGGGCGGATCCAGAGGGGGTTTGGGTTGGGGTCCCAGTGATCTTTTCTTTCAGAATATATATATATATATATATATATATATATATATATATATATATATATATATATATATATATATATATATATATATATATATATATATATATATTGCGGAACACCCTCTTCTGGAAAAATTCCTGGATCCACTTTTCCTGTATTGTGCTTTAATCCAAAACCAATTGATTGCAATATTTTTGTCAAGATTTTTTTTTTACATGAACGTTCTACATTTATCAGAATAAAGTTAATGTTCATTTCAAAGTCATAAATTCACAGCTGTTCACAATTATACAGACTCAAACATTTTTCAATTAAGTGTATATTTCAATATCTACAATAGAATATCCTTGTAATATCAACCCTTTGTATCCTCTTTTATGTCTCTTAAATAATTCAGGTACATGTACCAACAGATACCAATAAGGAAATAACTGAGAATACATTGTATGTGTGGGGGTTTGAAGAACTGTAAACTTCAAAGCAGCGATCTTTGAAAGATCGCTTTTAAATTTAAATTAAAATGACAATGTATCTAATTCCTGAATAATGCTAAAAGTGGATCATATTTTATTTATTTTTATCAATCATCATGGAGATTTTTCAGAGAAGTAGATACTATAATTCATATAATTTCCAAGATGCATGCTTGATTTTTAAAAAAAAAAAAATCGATTTTTTGCTATTAATTCTCACATTCATATAAGTTATACGTCCTTGTCTTATAGATGCAGAGGTAAAGAGTTTATTACACAGCCTTACTTTTAGTAGGTTCTTCGTACTTGGTAGGTACTTACATGTATTTTGTGTTCGGTCTAGATCTTGTCTATTGAATATTATATTGAAAACTGCCAATATAAGCACTGGAATTTGAGTTGCATGAAAAAATGTAGAAGTGTCAGTGAATTAGGCCTTTTTTTTTTGTTAAAAATGTGTATTAAAGGTACTACACATTTTAACATACAAAGCAATGAATGAAATAGTAATAGTGACTGTTAGTCAATTGTGTTACATGTAAGTAAACTATACTTTTATAAAATTAGGACATTGAAAACAATACAAAACATGCTGAAACATGTACCAATTGATTATTATCCTTATTCAGCAACAAAAGTTTATGTAATTTATGTATTTAGTAAGCATAGCTTAACATATTTTTTTTAAATACTCTGTTTCAGTTTATTAGAGATCTCATAGAAAAAATTTACAATTAGCTAAACATAATCAATATACATGCACACACACACACACACACACACACACACACACACAACGTTATAACCCTTGTGTACTTACCCGACTACAATTAAAATTGGTAGGTCTGGACAAAAATCAGACTCAAACAAGCAAATTAAAAGAACTGTTGTCCCCCGCTTTCGGTGTCTAAGTGATCGAGAGGCAATTATTTTGGAATTTATAGCATATTGTAATGCATGCACACGTCAAATATAAATCCCCTATCTTCTCTCATTCAATAAGGTCAAACTTAAAGATCAAGGTCATGGGGTTAAAAATCATAGTATGAATGAGCTTTAATGTTCCTCTCGCTTTATGGTCATTCTAAAAAATGCAACATTTTAAATTTTAAATCCCATATCTCACCGGAAAGGGGAAATTTAGTTACGCAAAATGTTTTTGGCAATCTCGAAAGCTCTAGTCATAGATGAAAAACAACAATGATTGAGTAATTCATTAAGGTATAATGTAAAAGAAGATAACGAACAGTGATAATCTAAAAAATCCAGTAATTAAGGTCAGACGACACGTTCCTCAAAAGTATATAATTTTTCCCAAGAATTTGTCATTGAAGTATTGCTACTTAAACAAGTTTCCTCACCAAAAATTGAGGTACCTTACCAGGCATTTGGGCAAGATACTAGAGGGTGATATTTCCTATATAATCCATATACATGTAGGTAATCTTTTGAATTGCCAATGTTACAATTTCTGGTGTACTTATTTTTAAAAACATATTGAAAACAATTAAGAAATCACAAGAGAAAGACAATTATGAATAATTTTTGATATAATACCAAGGTATACAAAACATATAATTGAGTAACGTGTCGTCTGACCTTAAACAAAACAAATCGTGAACAGGGTTAAAACACGATCGAACCCCTGATAATACATTCGGTGGGATCAGGTGCCTAGGAGGAGTAAGGATCCCCTATCGATCGGTTACACCCGCCGTGAGCCCTATGTATTGATCAGGTAGATGGAGCATTCCGTAGTTAGATTTATGAAACATGTCAGACATAATACGATCCAGCGATAGGTTGTATTTACAAACAAGGTCATTATAACGACTATAGATTTTCAAACAGCTGACTTTAAACGGGGTTGTTGAACTCCTTGTAACATCAACTTATTTGTCAGTAGCTCGTTTCGCTTTTAAAATTGATTTTATTCAGAGCATGATCTTGAATATGCGTATCGAATCGGTTGGGAGACATAAATACCATATTTAGGTGATGTCGGAATATTTTTTGAATAAATAAGGAAAGATGAAGATGGAAAAGCCTAAGTCATTCTGTTTGTCATACAGTTAAGTTATTAGTTGGCCATTGTCGTCTATGTAGCCAGTAAAACATCCGAATATTAAATAGATGTGGCAGACTCTGTATACATGTTGTTTCTTTTATCTCGAGTTCATTGGAATATATCGAGTCGACAAATGAATTCAAAGTAACTAATGAATGACGAAATATATCGAGAATTTTTAAAATGATTTACCAATTAATCTGTTGACCAGTACGTCTTGCGGTTAACCGATTAGCAATTCTGTATTCAATTGCCATCCCTAAAATGTTTCCTACACATGATTCCTATAAATTTTGTTTTGTGCACGTGTATGAAATTTAAGGGGGATATGTCATTACTGGGTGCAATATTTATTTATTGTCGTACCTCCATAAGTCGCCCACAGGCGTTTGTTTCATATGGTACGCTAGTTTTTCTACTATTCACTAACAGTGAATAGTAAAAAAAAAAAATAGAGTATACTGTATGAAACAAAGGCCTGTGATGTCGCCTCTTGAAATATAAATAAATGCTTCGACACCTCGGTAGCAGAACCCAAAGAGCAATCGGGTGGGTGAAATGCAAAGAATATACCCCCAGCGCTGTTAACTACAATCTACATGTATCATGGTTTATTACATTTTCAACAGTGAAATACTGTGATTTATTTAATGAATAAAAGCGATATTCTCTCACAGTGTGAAAAGATACCAAAATGATATTCTCTCACAGTGTGAAAGGATATCAAAATAAGTGAAAAAAATAATTTCTGGCCTGTCATAAGATAGACAAAGTAGCCAACCATCTTGATTGAGCTAAAACTGCAAATTTCTTCCCAAATATGTTGCTTAAATCAATGCTATGTAATGTTTTCAATCTCACAACTGCTAAGCTATGACGTCTCAACCGCTCAACTATGACGTCAAGCTTATGACACTGTTTTAAGAAAAGACAGGGGCAAAGGGAAAATCAATGAAAATGTAATAAACAGAAAATTCAATGTTTTGTAAATGAATATGGAATTTATTTCACTCGTGAAACAGGATTTTTTGGTATTTTCACTCGTGCTTCGCACTCGTGAAAATATCAAAAAATCCTGTCCCACTCGTGAAATAAATTCCATATTCATCTACAAACATTGAATATCCTCTAGATATTACTTCTTACGAATCGTGTTCAATTTGAACACATTTTCCTAGTGGAGCGGCCAATTACCGCACCCGATTTAACACTCATTAACTTAGAGTGCCTCTGACTTTCCTTCAATGTTTATCTACATTAAATTTATATTTAATCAGTGAATCAAAATGAAATGTTTCAGATTTATAATGCCTTATCTAATTATGTCGTTTTTTGTCTTTTAAAAACTTGTACTGTTAGCTCATGTAAAATGAGATTACCTTAAGAATTTTTTGTTTTATATTGTTGATTATAACTTTTAAGTATCTAAGTATTTTAGAGAATCGAGGAAAAATTATTGCAATTACATGTATACAACTGGTGATTATTTAAGAGAGGTAACTCGTGGAAAAAGGAACTGTCACCGATTCTTTAAATTTTCTTAAATTATATAATCTTGATGTTTTTACAATTCTATTGTCTTCCTGTGAGCAAAGAGGTCAGTAGCGTACATGTAGCTAGGCAAAAATAATGTGAATGCTTTTCTGATTGTATGGGAGCCTGGGGTCATATTACCCCCCCCCCCCCCCCCCCCCTATCAGCCGATCCAGGCGGAAGAATCCCGAGAAAGCTACATAAGAATTGACAAAATTTAAGTGTTAAATGGGCCTATGATAATACAAAACAGATTATATCTGAATAATAAAACAATTTATTGATATAAATTCTGTCATCAAAGAATTTTTTATCAATTAATTTTTTTTTTTTTTTTGGAAAAAAAGGTGGATGCTTTGGCATACAAGCATACATGTACATGGTTGCTAAGCCACTGAACTAGGAGTGAAACGGTTCACCGCGGTATCGATTCACCGCGGTATTTTTTCTCGGTTTGATACACGGTGCAAAATCTCTAATTTTTGGTTCGGTTCATTTTTCGGTCGGGATCGTTATTCAGTCGGGTTTGGCATAAGGTAAAACACGTTACTCTGTATAAATAAGTATAGAAAACGTAAATTTTTGATGACTGATAGCTTGTAAAATAATTTTTGACAGTCAAATAATTTTAATCAATCTCTTCTAGTCAATTTGCAAATAAAATTCGTAAAATATGTGACTAGATTTAGAATAAAAAGCATAAAACAACGTTGAATTTGTTTCCTTCTATCAAAATGTATCGTATCGAAAATAACCAAACCGAGACAAAATTATACAATACGTATCGAACCGTGAAGGAGGTGTGTCGTTTCACCCCTACACTGAACGTAAAAAGGCACTTTCCAACTTGCATGGCCACCTTGAACGGATTTGCAGATTGGGGTGGGATTAAATATATAAAAGTTATAATTTAACTTAAACATAACGCACACTATCTTCAGACTATCTTCAGCTCAGAATCATGTGGCTGCTTGTGTATCACAGCTATCCTGAGACATATATGTCTCTGATGTAGCCATTTACTTTAAGTTTAGAAAAATGAGCCACAAATCGAAGAAATTGTATCGTTTTTTGGTTGATTAAACGCGTGTTGAGGACTGACAAACGCATCAACATTTAGGAAAATCATCACTGTAGGGGACAGAACTATGGCAACGAAATGAATTAATGCTTTAGAGTCCAGAAATAGGCGCTGAAGTGGGTTGGGGTATTTTTTCCAAGACGAGAGCTTTCGCTCCTTGTAGAGTTTATATGTATATACATGTAGCTGTGGTACGTCTTTTTTAAGCGTGGTTTTTCTTGACTTTTAAGTGTATTTGAAGAAGATTCAAAATTTTTAAAATTTATTTACATTTAACAACCCGGAAGACAAGCCCCTATGGTTTAGATCATCTAGATGTAGGTGCCTTGTGGTAGTCGCAGTGTCCGTCTGTCTGTCCGTCAACATTTGTGACGCGGTAGTTGATTAAACTTCAACATATACATACTTCATGATACATGTATAATGACCCAAGAAAGAAAGTCAAGGAATAAAATCATTCAGGTATGAGGGAGGAAAGCTCTGCAACTCTACAAAATAAAGTTAGAAAATTCTCCCCTTACAGTGCGGGTGTAAAAAAAACCTTTAAAGTCGTCATGTTGCAGATTTTATTTGGGATATAAAATATATATGTCAGAAAGGACAAGAGCCTTATCTTGACACATGCCTCCAAACGTACCTTAAGCTGTCTGTTTTTAAAATAATATACTCCCCTCCATCACACCTATCCAGGGTTTCCTTGTCATTAAAAGTCAGGAAGCAGGTGTCCTGGCGTTCCATTTGCCAGATACCAGTAATATTCTTCAGCTCCAGAAACTCTGTGACAAATGTTGTAACATCCTTCTGTGTCATCTTCCTCCAGGCTGGCTGCGTCAGCTTCAAAGCATGTTTCATTAAAATCTTGAATATCCATCATGTTGAAGTTGTGGAGACCTTTCAGTACTCAATTCCAGCGAAAAACCAAAGGTGGAAAATATTTACTTTCATTTCCTTTTGTCTATATTTTCCATAGTTTTTAATTACATTTGACGTAAGCATTTGTATCCACTTTTTTTTAAAACTCTAACAAATTGAAACAGTTCTACTTTATTTCAAACGATTTTAAAATTGCAATAATGCATCATTTACCAAATAAAGAATACTAGTACATTTTTTCCCTCATAAAAATATTTAAAAGAAAAGATAACTGTTCGTAATTTTTTACAGGCACAAATAACTGTGATATTCTGACTGAAAAAAGCGCAGTTCGGTGCTAGTCATAGTCATGTAAATCTACCAGAATAAATTGTTTTTCTGTTGGAAAAATATCTTGGTTGATACATGTATCAACGTTTTTTGATTCGACCCTCTCCTTATCAAAGATCAGACACTCTATAATATTTTAACTGGGTAAATAAAAAAGGTTTCTAAATGAATCCTCCCCAGCATGATGATATTTGTTGTAAATAAAGAACAAATGATACGAATCCTCTGATGTACCACGTGAACAATTGGAATTCTTAATACTATTTCCTCTATAGAGGTCATAATTCAAAATACAGTTGTCTATATTAGTTTATTCAATTCAATTCAATTCATTTACTTGACAACACCATCATACATTGGCATATAGTCATGAATACAACAAACAATGACATGCATAAAATAAAAGTTTATAATGTATAATAATTTATAATGTGTTTGATATTTAGTCGTCTTTTTCCATGACAAAAATAAGGAGGGATTTTAAGTTTGTTTCCTGTATATTGTTTTTAAAACTAGTAAATGATGTACATTGTACTGAACGAGGAACAAAAAACATTTCTGAAATTCGAGTGTACATTTAGGAAAAGTGTAATCCTCCCGATTGCAAGTATCATACTTGAATCTAAACTCCCTGTGGAAGGGAAAAAATGTTGTTTTTCTTTTTAAATAATCAGATACTAAATTGTGATGTACTATAAATATAATATTTAGTTCTCTGTATAGGGTTTTACTTGGTTGTTAGGGCATCTAGATATGGTTTTATTAGATATTAATTTGGCAAATGAAAGTGAAATGTGGTTCAGTGCGCTTCTTGTTTTTAAGTGAGCTATTATAAATCTGAACTATGTCAATTTTTACTGACAGATCCATCGACCCCCTCTTTTTCCGAATTCTTCCAAGATATCAAGAAGGGGGAAAAATCATACGTTTTGTTTACCTGTTTCATACCTCCTCCCTTTTTTTCTTTGATTTATAGTTTTACCCGGAAGCAGGAAAATTTTGACGTGGATTGGACGTCTGTACCCTGCATATTTACTAGGTATGATACAGTTTTATACACTTTATTTTGGGTATGTTTGAATCCTTCCTTATATATATTGCAGAGGTTAATGTTCAACCGAATTTAAAGAAGGGATCGGTAAGGCAATAACACTGAGTTCATTGTTTGATGGCACAGCTGATTAGAAATTTTCTGTGTCGGTATAGAACACTAATAACGTAGTACACTGACATGGAATACATTTCTATATAAACAAAGACAAGAAAACCCTTGACTAAGACTTAAGTTTTGTTTAAGAACTTTTATTGCATTAGCATGCTGAGCCTATTTCTTAAATCGACATGTAATTAATGAATAAAACTAATTTTTTTCTCATTTTATTTTTTTTTTACGTATTTATGCATCTGTACAGTGCATACTTTTACTAACACTTACAGAATCAATTATAAATGTTATGACCAAAATGTGACAACAAAATCTCAGTGGTACGTTATGTTTGAATTCACAAAATTTTTATGGCTTGGCCTAAATGTTTTTTACGAAGAATCACGTGTTTCTGTGTCAAGTGTTTGAATCAAATAAATACATCCTCAAATGATAAACCGAGACAATACAAGATAGAAGGACGTTATATTTGGTACGTGTACGTACAATCCGCTATGTATTCTTTGGATATTTCAGAATATTTTGAAATCTGATTGCTAGTCGCACTATCTTATTATTTTACTTTCACTTTTCAGATTAATACAAACATGCGGCAATCGATTTTCTTCATTCTTCTTGTTGTACAGTTTGTGGTTTGTCTTTCTCGTCGTTTGAAGGCGGATCCTGTGAAGTTTAAAGGTAAAAATCTTAATGCACGCTCCTTTTCACAAAATATGCATAAAAGTGGAATTTGAAGCATTTTAAGGCTGTACGGCTCAGATGAAATAATTGTTTGCTACTTCGTCACGAACAAAGTATTTTATTGCAAAGCCCGAGGAGAACACTGTTTTCTTATATTGTGTTGTGTAGCTTAAAATTATACTTACCAAATATACTCTATGGATTTTAAAATCACTCAGGTATTGCCTTTTACTTATATCCAAAGGTCTAGCTACGATGTGAGTCACCAACAGGAAGCAACATACTCAATAATAAATAACATACATCTTATCTACTCGTTGGCCTGTGAGTTATTATTTTTTTTTTACAGTGTTAAGATATCGACGGACAAAAAATGACTTCATTTTTAGGCCCTATAATGTGACATAAATTTATACAGGATATTTTTTTATTGAAATATTTGAAGAATGTTTTTGCTGGTACTTAAACTTCAACAGGAAACTTGCAAGATTTTGTGCTTAAGAAGAATATTAAGCTTGTATATATTATACACCTATTTACTTGCTATGAGGACAATAGCAGGTTTATCGTTCCCCAAGACAGTAACTATTTCCCGAGGCGCAGCCGAGGGAAATAAAAAGTGAGGGAAACAGAATGCTGCAGGTGAATAGTTTAATGACTATTTCACCATGGGCAAATAGCACAAAAACTATTCCACGGTAGGGGCTGTTTGGAAAAAATAGCATGTTTATTCGTCATATTTTTATATAGAAAAAATTCACAGAGGTATAATAAACATGTATATGTGCTCTTGTTGTATATGTTTATAAATTAAACCTAAACCTAAAATACTTTCATCTCTCAATGCCATGTTGTGAAGACTTGAGAGTTGAAATAGAGCATGTTGTGGTATTAAAACAAATTACTGTATTCATGCATGCAAGTGTTGCTTTCTTTGATATTTGTTCTTTTATCATATATATAGCGGTCACTTTTATCTGTGTGCATTATTAAGGAATAAGGGCGAGATCCCTTTACCCTAGCTGCTGAACTGTAGCTGAAAAAAAAAGACAAAACGGAGGCAGTTCATACCAAGTTTTTCAGACCAGTCATGAGCTACAGATCTGAAGCTACATGTACCTGTCCCCGAAAAGTTTTCAAAATCAAATAAAATTTATCTATTTAATTGATAAGACAATGCATGTTTTATTTACTTGATTATTGTGTAATATTAGATTTACCCAGAAAAAGCATACCCGGTTTCGCCCCCTGGAAAAAGACACTTTTTAGCTCGAGGAAAAGAGGGGGTCATCTATTAAAGTGATACTGTGTCTTTCTTTAGACTGTAGCCATGTACGAGCTCTGGGTCATCTGAAGAACGGCACATATACATTATGGATGAATGACACAACACCCTTCAAGGTAGCAATATTAAGCAATTTTATAAATAAACTAAAAACTTTGTGTGTATGTTTCAATTTAAAGACTCATCATACCTCTGTTTACTTATCTAAAAAAAAAAAGAAGCTTATAACGCTTGTAATTTTTTTCAAAAGAAATTTAAATTAAATTGTGCACAATATAAGCATAGCCTTCGGGACAAAATTTGACAGAAATTACCTTTTTAAAATTTGATAATTCTATAAAGGACGTTGTCATTTATCCAAGTTAGAGTTATCTTTCTTATCAGAGGGTAAATACCTTAAAATGAACACAAAAGTATACATGAACGTAAAATTCTATTCTCCTACCGTTATATATGTAGGTACGTTGTGAACATGGAGCCTCTAACTCTTTCACCGTGATTCTTCGGAGGATGTATGGAACAGAAAACTTCTACCGTGGTTTCCATGACTACCAGTATGGGTTTGGTCATCCCCAGGGAGATTACTGGGCGGGACTTAACCAAATCTACTACTTGACCACTACAGGTAAGCCGAAGTCAATGTACTCTTAGATACACTACTGCAAAAGGAATTGCGTTTCTCAGATAATCTGTTATGCCCCATCACAACAATAAGTCAAAATTAGACAATAACATGAACCGTACATTTTGTTGGTTTTCCTAATTTATTTCTGTAAACGTTTATTTGCACATGTTCGCGCATAAACATGTAGCATCGACAAACTGCATTTTAGTTTTTAACGCTTTATATTTCGATTCTTGTAAAATATATATATGGAGGGTTATTTTGTAACTATCAGAATTAACTACCAATAATTAATTAAGTGCAAACAAATGCTACAAGGTTTATGTTATGTTATAATGTGTTATCAACATAAAAGGAACATTCCACAAAAATATTAAAGTGTATGGTTGTCTTTTGTTGAAAATTCTTTATGACTGTTTTTAGCTCACACGAACCAAAGGTTCAAGATTACACGTCGTGGTCGTCAGATTGCCTGTCCATCTGTTAATTTTTCACATTTTCGACCAAACTTTGGAAAAGGGGATTCAAGGGTCACACCCTTAAAGCTGACGTAAATATAGAAATGGCAGAAATAGGCTGGGTTTCTTTAAGTGAAAACCCACATTGTGGAGAGGACTTATATAGGCAGTGCCTGCTGTCCAATCCAGTTATGTTTAATCATAATAAAAATATTGTTTAAAAAAAAAAAAGCCTGGTGACAAGTTTTTTTTTTTTTTTTTTTTTTTTTTTTTTTTTTTTTTTTTTTACCAAAGAATGGCCTCGGGTAGAGTATGGGTACAATGGTGGATCAAAGTTTTACATTGAAAAATATAAAAAAAAATCTTTAAAAATCTTCTCAACAAGGGTAGGGCCATGATAAGTCACACATATATTAATATGCAAGCATCTTCAGTGGTGCATATTCAAATTATTCAAATCTTTGACATGGGGGTAGAATGGAGCCATAATAGGGGATCATAATTTTACATGATTCTATATAGGGAAAATTCTTTAAATACCTCTAAGATTCTAGATCTCTCCAGAATAGCATGCTAATGATTTGTCTTATATTAATATGCAAGTACGAGGGGTTATCAAAAAGTTCGTGGACTGATGCGTTAGAATTAATACTATGTAGTCTGTGCTTACAAAATCTATAAGAAACAAAGAACAACAAAAGGTTAAGAAATGTTGAAAAATGAAAATTTTAGCTTGATACGTTGATAATTTTCCAAATTATTCTAAAATAAAAAAGACATTATATGACCACCCGGCGCTGTCGCCGCTTAGTTTCATGACGTCCGACATTGTCTCTCAATGTCCGCTTTCTCTACCTCATACTCTTATCTTGATGAGATTACCTGGAGTTAAGTAAGGACTTAAGCCCGTCTTGATAATGTCATGAACAGCTGCTTTCAATGCATATAATATTGTAAATGGATCTATACAAAGGGAAAGATCCTCACTTGATTATGCCAGAATACTTAGCTTGTTGGAGTTCAATTTCTGCCACACATGATCAACGTCACTTTTCGAGGTGACTGACTTTTGACACCCTGACTACAATCGACATTAACTATGCATCTTTCATCTCTCTGAATCTTTTTGGGCATTTAAAAACAAGTACTCTGGATGCATTTTATTTCTCTGTAGCCCGTTGTAATATTCTTTAGGTCTATACCAGTTTTTCCAGGTGCGAAACTTTATAGAATGCTGGAAAAAGAAACCCCTCCCCCTTCTTGACGTCATTTTCAAGCCTTTATTTTTTGGACACTTCATATAAAATTTACAATAGAATTTCATAGAACGTACAGAATGGGATAAAAATTGCAAATTTTACAGAACAATTGTGTCGTACCACATGTCTGAAATAACGGGATTTTTTGATGACAAATGCTCATATCAAAAGAGTTTTTCTCAGTTACACTCAGTTAGAAAACGTCATATTTGAGGTTGCGCCGCCTGGACATACCATTGCTTACAAAAGCATTAAAAATTTATTTTAAAAATAAAACTTATGATTGATGGTTTATTCTATAGATAGAAAAGATTATGCTAACATGTTTTAAAATCCATTGGTGTACCTAAAGCGGTTTTAATTTTATGGCGCTAGTCTACGAACTTTTTGATAACCCCTCGTATTCCCAGGTAGTTCATATTTAGATTTGTTCAAATCGTGGTCCCCGGGGATAGCTATAGAGTATAGGACCACAATAATGGATCAGGGTTTCACATAGGAATATATACTAGGAAATAACTTTTAAAAGCAAGACCACACTAAATTATATAGATATACAAACATTCCTAAGTTGTGGGGATTTATTTTTTTTTTCAATTATGGACCGTATTGGCCCCTGGGTTTAGGTACCTTTGGGGGTCAAAATTTACATTTATAATGCATGTATAAAGGAAACTAATTATTGAAAAAAAATCTTCTGTATATATAGAACAGCAAGGTCCTGTTAGTCATATTAAGATTAAAGCACGTTGTGTGGATTCAAGATCGATTTCATCATAACCACTTTGAACTAAATTGGGGTTACAACATGAAACAAAAGTAAAGAATGGAAAATACTAGTATCTTTTAAAAATCTTTTGAAGAGGAACAACAAGACCAACGTGATTCGGGTGAGCGTTGTGGCCCATGGGCCTCCTGTTATAAAAGGGACTCTTTTTATTGACAGTTTAACAATCCAATAAAGTTTTGTTTTTTGTTTTTTATTTTTTTTTTCAAGGTAACAACATCCTAACTATCAACATGCAGGACTGGTACGGTAACAATAGGAATGTTCGCTACAATCACTTCCGGGTCAATGCTGCGCCATATTTCCAGCTTTCCATCGGGTCTTTTCAAGGTCAAGTTCCAGATGACCTTTCATTTAACAATGGCATGTATTTTGCTACCTACGACAAACCCGATGCACATAGTTGCGCTGTCCATCAGAAAGGGGGATGGTGGTACAATTACTGTACCTTCGCACTCCCCACGGGGGTATACTACCACGGGGGACCCTACACGCCCTCTGGTGGATATTACGACGGTATTTACTGGAAAGATTGGCAAGGATACGGATATTCTCTGAAATATTTAGCCATGACTGTTTCAAATTCATAAGGTGAACGTAAAGGCGATGTATAATACTGCAGATTTTGCGTGCATAAAAGTACAATAACTGATGTAGATATTGTAAAGATGTCAACAAAATGCAAGCAGAAGAAAACATATGAAAACTTTTTGTTTGTTTGTTTTTTAGATTGTAGGAATTGTGAAGAATTTATCAAACTACGAATGTAAATTACGAACTTCTGAACCTCGAGTGGGAAAAAAAAGTCACCATTTGGATAATTTTATGAAGTTATTGAACAATTTTATAGTGTTTGTAAACGTACTAACAAAAATTATTTTCAGTATGTTGGGTGTGAAGAGGAGAGAACATAGATTCTTATTGTCATTCGTTTATTGTAGTGTACATGTATACCAATAACAAACTCTAGAAAATGTCATATTTGAGGTTGCGGAAAGTTAATTAAGAATATAACCAGTAACACTAATCTAAAAATAATTATTAAGTACATGTACCAGCGATGTTGATTAACCCTCTCATTATGGTGGTCATCAAATACTAGTAATTACATCTACATGTAACTACTTGCCATTTGCATTTATTAGCATAATAATGAGAGTGTTATTGAATTTATATCAGTGTATTTTTGCACGAATATAAGATTTTCAATTACATAATTATGTTAATGCATTTTGAAACCGAATGAGTATCGTTATTCATGAAAGTAAATTCAAAAATTTGGGTTTTTTTAATTTTTTTTTTTTTTAGACAGGTCTGTAGTATCTCTGTGTTTAGTTTATCAGTTAAGGCATATTTTTATGCTATAGTATGCGTGCATTAGCATAGATTATAAGGGCCTTGCAACTAGAAGTTGGTGTATGGGTACCCTATAGTAATAAATTTGTCCGTCTGTCTGTCTTTCCGATCAACACTTTTTGTGACGCGACAACTGATTAGTAATCCCTAGTCCTGATTAAATTAGAATATCACTAAATGGCTGCACCTAGTCCTGATTAAAATATCACTAAATGGCGTCACAAAGTCTTAATCAGAATATCACTAAATGGGTTGCACCTACATGTAGTCCTGATTTGAATATCAATAAATTGCTGCCCTTAGTCCTAATTAGAGTACCACTAAATTTGTTGTACACCTAATCCTGATTAGAATATCACTAAACGGCTGCACCTAGTCCTGATTAGAATATCACTAAAAATGGTTACACCTAATCCTGATTAGAATATCACTAAACGGCTGCACCTAGTCCTAATTAGAATATTACTTAATAGCTGTATCTAGTCCTGATTAGATTATCACTAAATGGGATGCACCTTTTCTTGATAAGAATTTCACTAAATAGCTGTATCTAGTCCTGATTTGAATATCGCGAAATAAATTACATACTCTGATAAGAATATCATAAATGGGTTGTACCTGCCCTGATTACATACCAGTATCTCTAAATGGATTTTTCATGAATACGTAATTAAAAAGAAACATATCTTTTTAAAGTTATAAATGAAATGCCTAGCAAATTTTTTTTTTCAAAAGGTCTGATAATATAGCTCCCATTTTACAGATAATAACACATGTATTTATCTTTTGTACCCAGTGGTATAATGAATTAATGTTTAATTTTCTCCCTGAAATTTAATATTGATCACCTATTTTGTGAAAATTTTTTTTTTCCTTTCGTAATCATGAATAGGAGTATGCATAATTATATGCAATAAGACTTGGAAGGAAATTATTCGAGTTTGAGGCGGCAAAGCTCTGGAACTCTCTACTAAAAGAAGTTAGATTCTTCTCTTCCAGTCAGTTCCAAATTTTAATTTCAACATACATGTAGTGTTAAATTAAATTACTGCAGTATGAGCTCCTGCAATCTCCAGACTTTCCTGCCTCAATCTTAACTACTCCCCCCCCCCCTCTCTCTCGTTGATGTTCAGTTGATCTTCACTAAATAATTGATTTCTCACCCTTAGTTTATTTCTCTGTCAGATCTATTCTTGATGACATGTTGTAAATTAATACAATATATTTGTATGTATTTTATTTTTTCTCTTTTATGTACATATAAGTTTTATGTGTTTTTATAATAAATTTAATGCTTAATATCATATTTGCTAGTCGGTTTAATAGCTTTTAAGCTAATGTTTCTGTTATGTGTATCGTAGCCAATCTCAAAATAAAAAAATAATTTATTACTGTATGCAGTTCAAACATGCAGAGTACCTACATTTACCCGGTAAGTATGCCATTGTAACCAAATGCCCCAGTCGACTTTTCATTCCTATTATAGACCCCCTAAAATGAACAGTTGTTTCTTCATTTACTTATATTTGCTTGATATATTTTATTAAGAACAACACACGAATACTTTCTGTATTTCCGATAAAAATCCCATCTACTTCATTAATTATATAATTAATCGTGCAAGCAAAGCATTCAAACTATGTATCACCCCGCTGTGAGTCAAAAGTCAGGTCAACCGCATTCATAATTTGTATTGCATACTACGGGTGTTTTTTTTCTTTTTGTTTGTTGGTAATTTCGAAACAGTTCTTGGATCTTTCAGGGTCAAGGTAACAATCCTGACTCTATAACCAGGAAACAGAGTGATAAAAACCATATTATAAAGATATTAACTTCCTTTATTTTTTTATTAACAGTAGTAATTTTTTTTTTTTACTAGGATAAAACATTTGCTTTTTCCTAAATAAATTGCTTTAAAAAATGCGCCATGGAACAGTCAGGATGAAAATATTTTACATAAAATATTTTCTGTGTTAAAGAAATCCAAACGTTACACAAGAATGACATAATTTTGTAGAAGGTCCTTCTGATGATTGGTTGATTGGTTTTTATGTTAATTAAGGGATTGAAACAAAATGCCACCCTCACATAAACTTTCTCAACACAAATCAGTTGAGATCTATATTTCGGCTAACAAGGTTTGTACCTTTTACTCTCTACATTAATATGATCAATTATTATGGTGACGAATGGGCAATTATTTTTTTCTGTTATTTCAGTAACTTTTCAGCATGCCGAGAAGAGTTTTGCTATGTATCTTTCTTGTCCAATTTGGAATGTGCCTCTCTCTTGGCAATGCTGCAGCCGTGAAGTTCAAAGGTATTATATTTACAGTCAGAATATGACAGATTTTTTTTGTTAAAAATATAATTTTTTTCAGTTAAATTTTGTTTAAACAAATTGTTAAACTGCTGTTAAATTGTTAAACTGTAACAGTGTGCTTGCTAGAGGTACGAACTTTCATAAACTTTCTAAATAGTAGAAAGAGATTGGTGCGGTCATGATAATTATTCAAAAAAAAAAAATAATTCGTATAATTATATATGTGTACATATAAATCAATGAGCAGTTGAGTAGCCAATAATCTGGACACTCCACCTTCAATTTGTATGGAACAAAATTAACAATTCTATATTTACCAATCATAAAATTTATACTTTTCAATAATGCCAACGCCCCACTATTGTCGTTTACTAATTACTGAATTATTAGAAATTCAAAAAATAAGTACACGACAAGTGTCGTGTACTCATAATTTGAATTTCTAATAATTCAGTAATTAGTGAACAATAAATGAAGGCGACAAGATTGCCGAACTCAAATGTATACCCAAAACCTTGGAATTCATTTGTCCACAGTTTTCCTATTGATGATACATAGTTGACAGAACTGACATCCCCGATCTCTTAGCAGCTGTTTTATTTTACTCATATCATTGCAATTAAACATGAATATGATATTTAATTATTTTATTTCTTTTTCGAATATTTTGTTTTGTACCAGATTGTAACCATGTACGTGCAGCGGGGTTTGTTAAAAACCAGACATACACCGTGTGGATGAATGATACAACTTCTTTCAGGGTACTAATTAGTACAGTTATTTTAGGGAAGACTTTTTATAAAAATAGTGATATGGCATAATGTTTCTGTTGTTTCCCTTTGGTAATGATTATCAAATTGCAATGCGTTTCCTGTCCATATTATCTCAGAAATATAATATCTTCCGGCTGGGAAAAAAAAGGGGAAAACTCTGCTTAATTTCGATTTTTTAAGATTCATTAATTTTATTCATTTCCACATGAAAAAAAAAATCGACAAAATGAGGAAATGCATCTGCCTGAAAATTTCCTCTCATTTTATACCAATATAGAGTCATTATACAGGCTGAAAATGTATCATTTTTTTTCAATATCACAGTCTTTTGTCGAGTGGTGTATTATTGTTCTCAATCGTTGCTAGTCTTGATTTTATTTGTAGAACTTCGTGAAGTGTCCCCAGAGAAATTTCTTTCTAGGTTGTTTGAGAGCCATATTTGTAACAATAGGCTGGGTACATAAAAGATAATTTGTTTGTTGTTTGACGTCCCTCTCGAGAATTTTTCACTCATATGGAGACGCCAATACTTGCCGGTGGAGAGCTGCAAATTTTGACCTATGCTCGACACTTAAGGCCTTTGAGCAGTGAGGGATCTTTTTCGTGCCAGCACCTACTGCGACACGGGACCTCGGTTTATACATGTACGGTCTCATCCGAAGGACTCGCATTTTCTGCAATCGATGTTTCTGACATGTTTCCATATACCATTTATATATCATATATATCAGTCGAATAAACAATATTTCGACTAACGTTAACCGATTACAGATTTCCTAACCGATTACCATCGTTTAACTGTTTACAAATTGTTTTCCATATATATATATATATATATATATATATATATATATATATATATATATATATATATATATATATATATATATATATATATATATATATATATATATATATATACAGTGCAGGGAACTAATTTTGTTACAGCATCAATGCTGATTTGAATGCTTCCTTTGCTTGCTGATTTGAATGCTATATATATATATATATATATATATATATATATATATATATATATATATATATATATATATATATATATATATATAATTTGTGCACCTAAGTCTTCTCAACCTTGACCATTCCGATTCAATCTTCTGATTCAAACTAAAAAATTATAATAGATCAAATCATTTTTAAGTATGGAGGATCGATGAGTTTCATACCAAATTTCAAATAAGGTTTTTATTAAGACTTACCAAATATCTGCACTTCACAAATCTCCAGTATAGGCACATATTTAGCTCTCCCACTCCACAGTGACTTTTTAGTCTGATGAAACCATACATATCTTGCTGTTCCTTTACAAATAACTTGTAGAATGAACGGCAGCGTGGTATTTCCTGGATCTGCATAACAAATCTGTTGCTCACTTGGTTCGTCAGTAGTATTTGTAACACGGATATCGAAGCCACTTAACCGACTTGTCCCAGCAGAAACTACAAATGAAGATAATATTATCAGGATTCCAGTACAGGTAATATATCCGCCAAAGCTATTGTACACTAGTATTCATACACAGCTTGTTCCTATACAGTCATTCTTTAAACTAAATGGCAGAATGGTGTTTTCTAAATCATCAAAATCAAATTTCTTGAACACTCGGTTCGTCAATTGTGTTTGAAACACAGATAGTGTGGCTATTTAACGGATCTGTCCATATGGAGATTTCTACAAAATGATAAACAGCAATTAAGGTTTACCAAAGGTCATATTATGCTTTATAAAATTATGAAAAACTTCAAACTGTTCAGATTTAGTAGACATTGTGATAAATGTCCATAAAGGTCGTACTCAGTCTTCACCCTTGTTAAATTGAATATGTCGTTATGAATCGTGACATATTACCAACTCATAATTAATATCTTCCAAAATGACCAACAAGTGAAGTTGTTTTTCCAATATTTACAAGCAGAATAGAGGCAAACTCCTATATGAAATTACAATTTACAAATATTCATAGAATTAAACTAAAATTCATTGTACACATTTTAAGATCGAGGGCTGGGCTCAGATTCAATAAATAATTGATTGAAATCAAATATTTCATTCGGAAAAATTCAGGAACTTGCATTATTCAAAGCTATCTCTTTTTTTGTGGACGTTGCGAAGGACCTATTATATATATATATATATATATATATATATATATATATATATATATATATATATATATATATATATATATATATATATATATATATATATATATATGACAATTAATTTATGTGTCTGTGTGACAGGGCCATTTATGCATAAAGTAAACCTAGTTTTTTGCATATAAAGCTAGAAATTCCTCCATAGGCAAAACAAGAGAAATAAAAACATTGACGGTCACTTGAGGACCATGAAGCTTCCTTTGACATTTGTATTTGAAACAGAGAAAAAAATGAAACGCAGTGAAAATTTTTAATTGACTTAATGTTAACTAATGGATTTTTCCCCTATATTATTATATAACATTCCAAAACAACTTTAATTGATAACAATAATTTAATAATTTGAATTCTATTATTTGTTTAAAGGTATCAATGGGTAGGATAAATGAAAGTGAAAGTTCTTTTTAGCTGACCTTTAAAGAAGGATTGCATATTAATAATAATGATTATACAAGTGCCTAATATTTTTTGAGAAGATCAATTTTTTTTTCATATATATATGGGAAAGTAAAACTTTGATTCCCTTTTGTGGCCCGGCCCACCCTAGTTCCTGTCAGGGCCATTATTTAGACAAACTTGATTCAAGACTCCAATGTAAAGAGAGCCTTGAAGCTCATAAAAGTTAATTTTTACTCGCTGAGTGGTTCTTGAGAAGAATGTTTTCAATGACATTTTCCCTATTTCTTATAATTATTTCCTTTGAAAGAGGGCTAATGTCTCTTCATTGAACAAATTTGAATTCCCTATACACAAGTACGTTTGGTTAAAATTTGTCCGGTGGTTCTTAAGTAAAAATATTCAAATTTAATTAAAAGTGTGCAGCTTACAGACAACACGTGGCTCGAGACAGACGGACTCAAGACAACTATAACAGAAAAGCTCGGCTGAACCTATGGCTCAGGGAGAGCTAAAATTAAATTGTACTCTGATCTAATTTTGACTTACAGTCATTTCTGTACCAAAGTTTGACTGATTCAACACTGGAGATATTAAGTAAATCTATCCTTAGCCACGTATACGTTACTGGAACACCATCAACAGAGTAATCAGTATGGGAGCATTGCTCAGTATTTTGGCCAAAGAATCCGTCCACTGCGTACCAACTATACAAGTAGACAGAATCGTAGTGATGAGTTGATCTCAAACTTGCTTGAGTAACACCAGGAATGACGAGTTGATCTGTAAAGTAATTTGATTGATGTTATTAAAAGTAAGATTGAAAACCAATTGTTACAAAATGCGTTTGCCGCAACTGAACATAAAAACCACAAACAGGAGACTAAGGCCAAAAAAAAAATTATGTGTGGTTCCGGTTACCCGACCTTCCCTATTTTATACCCCCGACCCTAAACTTTTTTTTGGCAATTTTCATATTTCTTGTTCCGTTGTGCCCCACCCCTCACCCACTGAGTTGTGCCCTTTAACTGGAATTGATTTCCAAGTGCCTGCTTTTCTACATTAAATCTTTGTAGTAATATTGAGCTTCTGTAAATATGTTTTAAGAACCCTTTTTATGCCTGACATTCACTGTAAAATTATAAACAAGTTACAAATTAATATTTTGGTAGAAAAATTGTATTTTTGAAAAATCCCCAGCTACACTCATTATCAAAAAGAAAAAAAACACGTTTTAGAATTTAATTCCAGATTATTTTGGCTACATATAAACAAATCACTAATGAAAAAATCCCCCCCCCCCTCCCCGACTGGCCGAGAAAACTTAACACAGTGCTTGAACTCAGAAATGAAGATTTTACATACTGCCGGAGTCATATTTTTATATGAAATGATAATCAGTATTTCTAGTTGTGCAGACAGCATTAAAATTTTAAAATTTCGGGTATGTCAAGTTACACTAATTGTGCTAATGTAATGCACATTGAATAAACCTCTTTGATGAGGTAAAAAAAAATGACTATGCGTTTATTTCTAATCTGTTAAACTCTACAAATTGTTCACTTATTTTTATTTCATTTATGTCGGAACTGTCAAATTAGTTAAAATAAAAAAGAAAATAAGAACATTTAAAAATAATCGTGGCATTGATGCCCCTCCACAGTTTCTCATTATCAAAATTCGACAAACGTGCAGACTGTTGCTGTTGAGGGGGACGATAAACTTGCTGTTGTCCGAATAGTCAGTAAATAGGTGTTTTATTATACCGAAGCAGTCTTTACTTGTGTTACGTCACAATCTGGATAAAACCAGAAGAGTTCCGAGATAAAAAGCGAGGGAAACAGAAAGCTGCCGGTGAATAGTTTAATGACTATTTCACCATGGGCAAATAGCACAAAATATTCCACGGTAGGGGCTCTTTGGAGAAAATAGCATGTTTATTCGTCATATTTTTATATAGAAAAAATTCACAGAGGTATAATAATATACACCTATTTACTGGCTATAAGGACAATAGCAGGTTTATCGTTCCCCAAGACAGCAACTATTTCCCGAGGCGCAGCCGAGGGAAATAAAAAGTGAGGGAAACAGAATGCTGCCGGTGAATAGTTTAATGACTATTTCACCATGGGCAAATAGCACAAAAACTATTCCACGGTAGGGGTTGTTTGGAAAAAAATAGCATGTTTATTCGTCATATTTTTATATAGAAAAAATTCACAGAGGTATAATAAACATGTATATGTGCTCTTGTTGTATATGTAAATAAATTAAACCTAAACATAAAATACTTTCATCTCTCAATGCCATGTTGTGAAGACTTGAGAGTTGAAATAGAGCATGTTGTGGTATTAAAACAAATTACTGTATTCAAGTGTTGCTTTCTTTGATATTTGTACTTTTATCATATATAGCGGTCACTTTTATCTGTCTGCATTATTGAGGAATAAGGGCGAGACCCCTTTACTCTAGCTGCAGAACTGTAGCTGAAAAAAGACAAAACGGAGGCAGTTCAAGTTTTTCAGACCAGTCATGAGCTACAGATCTGAAGCTACATGTACCTCTCCCCGAAAAGTTTTCAAAATCAAATAAAATTTATCTATTTAATTGATAAGACAATGCATGTTTTATTTACTTGATTATTGTGTGATACTAGATTTACCCAGAAAAAGCACACTCGGTTTCGCCCCCTGGACCCGCATTAAGAGCAAGTTACGTCCTTTGAGTTTACAATAAAAAGGAATACAACCTTAGAATTTTTGTTCTCAATAAGAAAAAAAGACACTTTTTAGCTCGAAGAAAAGAGGGGGTCATCAGAACTCGCCCTCAGGACTAACACACCTCCCCGACCATCTTACTCAGGCTTCTAAATGTAAGCAAGGGGAGATCTAATAAAGTGATACTGTGTCTTTCTTTAGACTGTAGCCATGTACGAGCTCTGGGTCATCTGAAGAACGGCACATACGCATTATGGATGAATGATACAACACCCTTCAAGGTATCAATATTAAGCAATTTAAAATCAATAAACTAAAAACTTTGTGCCTATCTTTCAATTTAAAGACTCATCATACCTCTGTTTACTGATCTAAAAAAAAAAGAAGCTTATAACGCTTGTAATTTTTTTCAAAAGAAATTTAAATTAAATTGTGCACAATATAAGCATAGCCTTCGGGACAAAATTTGACAGAAATTACCTTTTTAAAATTTGATACTTCTATAAAGAATTTTGTCATTTATCCAAGCTAGAGTAATCTTTCTTATCAGAGGGTAAATAACCTTAAAATGAACACAAAAGTATACATGTACATGAAATACTATTCTCCTACCGTTATATATGTAGGTACGTTGTGAACATGGAACCTCTAACTCCTTCACCGTGATTCTTCGGAGGATGTATGGAACAGAAAATTTCTACCGTGGTTTCCATGACTATCAGTACGGGTTTGGTCATCCCCAGGGAGATTACTGGGCGGGGCTTAACCAAATCTACTACTTGACCACTACAGGTAAGCCGAAGTCAATGTACTCTTAGATACACTACTGCAAAAGGAATTGCGTTTTTCAGATAATCTGTTATGCCCCATCACAACAATAAGTCAAAATTAGACAGTAACATGAACCGTAAATTTTGTTGGTTTTCCTAATTTATTTCTGTAAACGTTTATTTGCACACGTGTAGCATCGACAAACTGCATTTTAGTCTTAACGTTTTATATTTCGGTTCCTGTAATATATATCTGAAGGGTTTTATTGTAGTTATCAGAACTACCATCGCTTTGGCGACAAAAAAATATGTGATTTTTTTCTCTGTCGAAATATACACAGTGTTACAACCACAGGTGCTTGGGGACGGGACCTCTCCCCCCCCCCCCCCCCGTCCTCCCCGTTCCATATATACCCCAAAAATTCACACTCTCTGATACTTAAAGAGAAATTTTAGTATCAGAGAGTGTGAAATTTTTATAAAAGGCTAGTTTTAGGTTATATTTTGGATTTTTCAGTGACTGTTGTAATACTTTGTGCATGTTGTGAATGTGTCATAAAAAATATTTTTATTATCTAAAAGAAGTCAGAGAATACGTGGGATACGGAACGGGGGTGGGGGGTGGGGTGTCCCGTCCCCAAGCACCTGTGATAATACTCAATCACGTTCATGGCCGAGATGTATATATTAAGTGCAAACAAATGCTAGAAGGTTTATGTTATGTTAATGTGTTAACATAAAAGGAAACATTTCACAAAAATATTAAAGTTTATGGTTGTCTTCGTTGAAAAGCCTTTATGACTGTTTTCAGCTGACCCGAACCGAAGGTTCAAGATTACACGTCGTGGTCGTCAGATTGCCCGTCCGTCTGTTAATTTTTCACATTTTCGACCAAACTTTGGAAAAGGGGATTCAAGGGTCACACCCTTAAAGCAGAAGTAAGCAAGAAATGGCAAAATAGGGTGGGTTTCTTTAAGTGAAAGCTTCATGACATAGTGTAGATTCAAGTTGTTTTTTTTTTTTTTACCAAACAATGATCCCTGGGGTAGAGTAAAGGTACAATGGTGGATCAAAGTTCTACGGGGTAGGATGGGGCCATCATAGGGGATCATAATTATACATGATTCTATATAGGGAAAAATCTTTAAAGACCTTAAAGATTCTCCTCTCCAGAATAGCATGCTCATGATTTGTCATATCAATATTCAAATATATTCCCAGGTAGTTCATATTCAGATTTGTTTAAATCGTGGTCCCCGGGGATAGGATGGGGCCACAATAATGGATCAGCGTTTTATGTGGGAATATATAGGAAATTACTTTTAAAAGCAGGGCAAAATTAAATCATATAGATATACAAACACTCCGAAGTTGTGTGGATTTATTTTTTTTTTTCAATTATGGACCGTATTGGCGCCTGGGTTTAGGTAGGGCTACCGTTGGGGGTCAAAGTTTACATAATGCATATATACAGGGAACCAATTACTGAAAAATCTTCTGTATATATAGAACAGCAAGGTCCTGTTAGTCATATTAAGATTAAAGCACATTGTGTAGATTCAAGTTCGATTTAAATATAACCCCTTTGGACTAGACTGGGTTAAAATATGGAACGAAATTAAAGAATAGAAAATATCTGTTAAAAATATTTTGAAGAAGAACAGCAAGATCAAGGTGATTCAGGTTAGCGTTGTGGCCCATGGGCCTCTTGTAAATTTATTTATTTAAAAGGAACTACATTTATTTAAAGCTAAACAATGCAATAACTCGGAAGTAAAGTCTTTATTTTGTTTTCAAGGTAACAACATCCTAACTATCAACATGCAAGACTGGTTCGGTAACAATTGGAACGTTCGCTACAATCGCTTCCGGGTCAATGCTGCACCATATTACCAGCTTTCCATCGGGTCTTTTCAAGGTCAAGTTCCAGATGACCTTTCATTTAACAATGGCATGTATTTTGCCACCTACGACAAACCCGATGCACATAATTGCGCTGTCCATCAGAAAGGAGGGTGGTGGTACAATTATTGTACCTACGCCCTCCCCACGGGGGTTTACTACCACGGGGGACCCTACACGCCCTCTGGTGGATTTTACGACGGTATTTACTGGAGGGATTGGCAAGGATATGGATATTCTCTGAAATATTTAGCCATGACTGTTTCAAATTCATAAGGTGAACTTAAAGGCAATACTGCAGATTTTACATGCATAAGACTAGAAATAGTTGATGTAAACATTATACAGACTCATCAAAATTTAAACAGAAGAAACTCTTTGAAAACATTTTTGAGAATGCAGGATTTGTGAAAGAATTTATCAAATTAAACTACGAGTGTAAATAACGAACTTCTGGATCAATCTCGAGTGGGAAGTAAAACCTACCGTTTGGTCAATTTTATGAAGTTATTGATCAATTTTGTAAAGTTACTGTAAAAGAACAAAAAATATTTTCAATATGATGGATATGAAGACACGATGACATAGATTTTTATTGTAATTTGTTTATTGTCATGTACAAGTGCAAATAATAAACCCTACTTTTTTAAATTGGAAAAGTTGATTAACAATTTAGCCAGTATCACTAGTTTAATTAGAAGGTTATTAAATTTGTGTCAGTTGATATTTGCCCGAATAAAATTTTTAAGTGCACAAGTTTGTAAGAGTATTTTAAAACCGAATGAGTGTCGTTATCCATGAATATAAATTAAAAAAAATTGTAAAATATTGTTTAGATAGTTTTTATTAAAAGTGTATTATCTATCTTTTTCGTTTAAATTATCACTGAGTTGAGGCATATTTTGTCGAAATTGTGTGCGTGCAAGAAAGGGCCATAGATTAATTATATAAGGACTCTGCGACTAGATGTTGGTGTGGGTGTATGGGTACCCTATAGTAATCACTGTGTCCCCGTCTGTCTGTTTTCCCGTCAACATTATCTGTAACGCGATAACCGATTCGTTATACTTTCAACGTACATGCTTTATTTGGAGAATGGCACCATATGTACTGTAGTTTTTGGGGTCAGTTGGACAAAGGTAAAAAATCGAGATAGTTGTTAAAGCCATAAAGTACATGTGTCATATATATATATATATATATATATATATATATATATATATATATATATATATATATATATATATATATATATATATATATATATATATATATATATCAGATTACAATTTTAATCAACTTAAAGTTATATGGTACATGTAGGTCTGGACAATAATCAGTCAGAAATAAAAGACCACATACAAATGTTATTGTCCCTTTAGCCATATTTATGGTAATTCTAACAAATGCAACAATTAAAATCTGATATCTCACAGGAAAGGGAAAATTTAGTTACGCAAAATGTTTTTTGGCAATCTCGAAAGCTCTATATATAGTCATAGATGAAAAACAACAATCCGTGAGTAATTCATTAAGGTGAAAATGAAAATGGTGAAGATAACGAACAGCGATCGATTTCAAAAAATTTACAAACAATACATATCTGTGAACAGGGCATAAAACACGGGCCTCCGGAAATTCCAGAGCTGGAATCAGGTGCCTAGGAGGAGTAAGCTTCCCCTGTTGACAGGTCATACCCGCCGTGAACCCTATGTATTGATCATATATACGAAACATTCCGTAGTCAAATTTAGTATAACAAGCTAATTCAGAGAATTTGTGTCCCCTGCTTAAGGAAATAAGAAGATCATGCGCAGATCTAGGGAGATGGGGTGGGGGTGGGGGGTCGGACCCCCCACCCTAGATTTGCAGAATTATTAAATGTATACATGTATACTGAAGCAAATAAAAAATGCCAATATGGATATATAGATTTAATAGCTTATTCTTTAATATGTGTATAGAAGATTCTTTTTATATAGAATATTTATCACTCTGTAATAATGATTTAATAAGTTTGTACAAGCCAGACGTCATAACTTCTTCATTTCATATGTTGAATACTATCATTTAGTAAATCGAAAAAAAAAAAACATTTGAAAAAAAAAAAACACGGGATCGCCCGAGATTTGAATCTGGGACCTCTCATATGCTAAGCAAGAATCATACCCCTAGACCAACTTGGCGCTATCTTGTGTTGCAAATGAAATGCAAACCTTAGGTCACATATATAATATTATGATATTGTCAAAATTTCACACAACACATGGTGTCTAATTTAGCCTTTACTAAACAGTTCTAATAGACGTAATTAGAATATAAAGTCTGTATTATATGTAATAACTCTCCACATGCCCCTGTGCTAAAAATAGTGCCAAGCGACTTCTAATACAATTTAAGCTTTCGCAATGAAATTTTGCATAGCAACCCCCTATGGCCTAAAGAAGACTCCTATTGATTTTGAGGTCAAAAGGTCAAGGTCATAAATTCATAAATTCTGTCTGTGTGTAACACTTTCGTTTTCGGGCGATATCTCAAGAGGCTTTTGAGCTTTTGCAATGAAATTTTATATCATAACTCCTTAGGGCATCTATCGCCCATCTCAAAGTGTCCCGCCCCGTTTTTTGTTGCTTTGTTTGTTTGTTTTTGTTTTGTTTGTTTGTTTGTTTTTTTTCCGATGCAGACTCAGCGACAACACATGGAGAATGGGAGCAAGAATTTGGAGATTACTTTGGCGACTTGACCAATGAAGTTCCAGACAATTAAATTGAGGTGTTTTTAAATGGGGTTCGATCCTAAAAATATGCATGCACTTTAAAAATCCCGGATTTGATGCAAAACTTTCTCAATGTAAAGCGTGGGAAACACAATGTAACCTTGAGTTAAGCCAATCTTTAGAAGATCAATTTTAGTCAAAAATTGTTATTATATTCTTTTTTTTAATCAATTTTTCTAAAACTTATTTTTCTTGTTGAAAAGATGAAGTTGGAACGCCCCACACATCCCAATTATACTCCCTCCCCCCCAGAAAGACAATAGTATGTCCCTCAAATGTTACCATAAACAATACGCTAGAGGAATATATTATTTGACATGTGCATCTTTGTTTGGTCCATTCTCCTTTCTGCCTTACATGACTTTACAATTTAGCCCAAGTACAAAGAAACTGTTGAAGATATAATTGTCAGTCATCATTCACTGATTAAAATTGATAATCACAATCAAACATTTTAAGATTTTGTGATGTTGGCCTTCCCCATTCAGGCACAAATCCAGGATTTGTGGTAGGAGAGGCACTATTAGGTGGAAAGCGGTCTGTGGACTGCCAACGTTCTTAGTGGGTACAGGACACTGTCCAGTGGGGGTGCCTAAGAGAGCGAACTTCCCGTAAGCTTTTGAAATTCAATAAACAGTAAACCTCATTTTAACCAAAAAACAAAGAATACAAGTGGAATTTTACCTTTAGTACATTATATATGACAGTGAAACTATATCTGAAATATATTTCTTTGGTTTTAGTGTGGGCACGCACGGGGAGTGCGCCCGCCTGATTTCACTCCTGTCATTGCATTTTTATTACATTTCCTAATGTTGATTATTTTCATTGATCTGACATTGACGTGGACCTCACAATATCCTGATTTCGCTCTCCCTGCAGTTTTAGTCAGATTCCAATAAAACTTGGTACACAAGTAAATTAAATAAGAACCATTTTATTTAGTGGTGTTGACATCACAGAAATTGAGTCGAGGGACTATTTTCTCTGGGTTTTTTAAATTACAATTACAAACTGGCGGAACAATTGTCTTATTAAATACATCTTGTATTTTGACTTAAGTTGAAATAAAATATATGGAGATAACGAACAGTATTCAAGCTCAAAAGTCAATTTAAACAATACAAATCAGGAGCAGAGCAAACACGGACCTCTAAAACATCAGAGGTGGGATCAGGTGCCATGGAGGATTGAGCATCCCCTGCCGACCGGTCACACTCGCCGTGTGCTCCTTGTCATGATTGGGAAATAACGGAAATCCGTCGACAATTCAGTGTGTAAATAATGGCCTAACAATTAGTATGAAAAACATGAGTCAGCATTTGACTTACTGATAGATTGTATTTGCTGACAAGGTCATTGTATCGACCATAGAACTTACGAAATGATGACTTTAGACGAGACTGTTGTTATCCTTGTTTCATCAGCTTGTTGGTTAATAACTTACCTCGTTTTAGAAATTGTTCATACGTAGAGCATGCTCTTGCGTATCGAATCATCTGAGAGAAAAAAACATATTTAAAGTTATATTAAAGAATACTGAAAAAATCTTGCAGCCATACAAAGAAATTTTTAATTGTTTATTAACTTTATTACATACAATTTCATCATACATTTTTATCAGAACAGCTGATTTTGTTCTTCTATGATTTTCAAGGGTTTGTTTGAAACAAAATGGCCCAACAAAATGTGGTCACAGAGGGTTAGTCCGTTTTATAAAAACAACGGCGACGTACATGTATCAACCTTAATTTTTGTTTTTAACTTATTAGAATCCTACACTCTTAAAATATTTCGTTGAAATCCTACACTCTTGAAATATTTCGTTAATAAAAATACTCTGACTATAATTAAGAGTGTTTTGGTGGTATTTTACAAACGTATCTTTTGAACTTAAAGCAAGCATAGTAAGGCCCGCCTCATGAGCAGATGAGGGGCCCATCTTGTATACACACCAATAAATTTCACTGAATTTTATTTCATTTGAGATTTGATCTAAAAAACAGTTCATCTATGTTCCTTTGTTTACTATATGGGACCGCAAGAGTGGTTGTAAATATGTCTGCATATTTCATGAATTTAATTCAAAGGTTGTTTCTTAATTCCTTTTATTGATGGGTTAAATTTCGTGACTAAAGCATTCGATATGGCATTTTTATCATTTTTAGATATGGTTTGATTCAATAAAATATTGTTTATATACTTTTTCCAAATTAGTTTTGAAATCTTTAAAACTGGTTTATAGTACAGCTTCCTGAGACGTCCAGTGTATTTTTCTTTAATTATGCCCTTAAAGATTGGTTGTTTCTTTGCTTTAAATCCCTTTGAGAATTGTTGGGACGACAACATTTAATATTTGCCTGATGGAGGGCTCCAAATTTTGACTTGTACAATGAAGACACAACCCAAGTTCTTATATGCCCCTGGTAGAACTTTCACCTGCAACTCCAGGGGTGGTCAACGACACCAAATTATGTAACAGGAAAGTAGAAAATGTATGGCTGGACCGGGAAACGAAACCGGGACCCCCTGCATCACTATTCAGGTGCTCTATCGACTGAGCTATACAGGTCGATATACACGGCCCAAACCATTACACGCCTCTCTCCTGAAATTGTCTTCGCCCTCGAAGACACAACTCAGGTCAGCTGCTCTACCGACTGAGCTATCACGCTGATATCCACGGCTCAAACCATTA